AGGGTGGAAGGAAGGTACAGAGATGTTAGTATGAGACCATATAGGCTGAACACTGTTATTCCTTTGTCGTTGTGTATGAAGTGAAGGAATTGCTGTTGTGGAACACAAAACCATTTTCATCAGAGCAGCTGTGCAAGTGACCCCTCTCCCCCCGTCAGAACTGGCAACTGTTGATGTACGTGTGAGAGGGTTGTTAGACCCTCACCTGGGGCAGGACTCTCACTTGAACTTTTCCTGTCTCCACCATCCTACCGTCTCTAAGCTCACTCTAATGCTCCCCAAAGCACTGAATAGCACACTGTTCTCTGAAACCCATCTGTAAGGTTTGTCTTTCTGCTAGAAGGATGTAATACTGTATTGATGTGGTTTGCTTCTTTTTGGTGAAACCTAGCCAAAGGCCCTTCCTTAAGGAGCAGCCATTTGTCCACCTGTGCTGTGTGGCTGTGCCAGGCAGGTGGTGCCGTTCCTCTGTCCTTGATCATGATCCCCATCCTTGAAAGTAGGTTTCTATGTATTCAAATTGCATAACATTGGTGCTGGAAGCTGATTTAAAAAGAATCAACATGTTGTATATTACCCTTCAATTGCTGTAACAAATACCCGAGGCAGCTAATTTTATAGACTAAAGGATTATTTAACAGACAAACTTGATTTGAGCCCATAACAGCTGGCTTCTGGTGAGCACGTCAGCACGTGTGGATAGCATTGAAGGGAGTTGCACCACTGAGCATGTGATGATGTTTTGAACAAGGAGTGTAAGAGCTGCCAAAGGAGTCACAAGGAAATGCCTCATGTCCCCAGTGACCCAAGAACCTTTGGCTTTGCCTACTTCCCAGAAGTTCCCTTGCCTCCATAAGGTGTATGCTCCTGCCTTCCACCCTATGGACCAGACTTTAGTCCTAAGGGACCCTCAGGGATCCCCAGACCACAGCACCTTCTTGGGTGCCAGAGATGGTCATTGACTGGCATCTCTTTGTATCATTCAAAATGTGCTTCTTATTTGTTCTTTCATTTGTTGTCTTGATTACAGACTGCTCTCAAATTTGCTCTGTAGCCAAGGCTAGCCTTGGACTTGGGATCTTTCTGCCTCAGGTTCCAGAGAGCTGGGATTACAGGTGTTCCCCCCCCCCCTTCTGAAAAATAACCTTTCTGGTGTTGTGATAAATAGCCATTAAACTTTTCTCCTTCCTGAACTTCCTTCTGGAGCACGTCATAGATGTGTCCGTGGTTTTTGTCAGTCTTTCCCCCAGGGAAAGGGAGATTAGGAGAGCTAAATACAGGGGCAGAGTGTGGGCGTGGAGCAGAGCTTCCTCAACGTGGCCATGCCACAGTGAAGGTACCTGCCGATGCTTGCTCGACACCAGTTTTGCCTTTACTAGAGTGTGTTACATAATGAAAATGGAGGCTGGTATTTCAAGGAGGACGCCAGAGGGCCCTGCTAAACATGTTGTCACTAAGTGAAACCTCCAGTGCAGGAAATGGGTTATAGCTAATGAAGTTGTTAACCAAAGGGATCCTGTGGAAATCCCTAAACTATATATTGATGGCTCTCCACAAGCTGATGGAAAGGCCCTATTGTTGAAGACAACCCCTACATAACTCACTGAACACAGAGAAGTCGATCTGGTGCCTGCATAGAACCTTCACCTTTCTGACTAGTGTTCATGGTACTGGAAGGTGCCCTGCATGCTACCAAAGAAGGAAGGCAAATGCTGACCCAGCTGCAAACCCGTCTGTCTACAGCGGAGACCTGCCTGCAGGATGTATACACTGATGAAATAGTGGTACAAAGCTTGGAGTAACCGACCAGTACCTGACTGGATTTAAGGCCCACTCTGTGAGATGGAATCCTTGCCCAACACTGCCCGGGTGGCCAAGGCACTGAGACTACATAAGCTGTGGACCTAGGAGAAAACCAAATACTACTGTTCTGCTAAAGGGATGAAGCAATAAAATGACTCCTAAGAACATTCTGTTATACACTCAGATCCATGCCCTGCTCAGACATCATCAGTGAGTTTCCTGCATGTGTACACATGTATATATATGTATGTATGTATGTATGTATGTATGTATATATATATATATATATATATATGTATCTAAAATCAGTGCTCTGGATTGCTGAGCCATGTCTCCAGCCCATCTTAACTTGTTTTAAAAAAAAAAAATAAATAAAAGGCCAACAATTAAAACACTTACAGTAGCTGGAGGCTGAGAAAGGAGAATCTGTCTGCACAAGTCCAAGACCATCCTTAGCTACACAGTAGATACAAACCTGCCATAAGAAAAGCCCATATGGGCCGGGCATTGGTGACGCACAGCTTTAATACCAGCACTTGAGAAGCAGAGGCAGGCAGATCTTTGTGAGTTCGAAGCCTGCCTGGTTTACAGAACGAGTTCCAGGACAGGCTCCAAAGCTACAGAGAAACTGTCTAGAAAAAAAAAAAAAAAAAGAAAAGAAAGAAAAGAAAAGCCCATGTGTTATGGTTTTCCCTTCAAGTGTGGGAGGGGGGAGAGGGGGTTGTTCTAGACAAGGTTTGTCTATGTAAGTCTGTGTAACAGTCCTGGCTGTCCTGGAACTCACTTTGTAGACCAGGTTGGCCTTGAACTCACTGAGATCCACCTGCTTCTACTTCTCCAGTGCTGGGATTAAAGGCATGCACCACTACCGCCCAGCCTTGTCCCTTTTAAAAAAGAAAGTAGCAAAAGCATCTGGGGCTGGTTTTGTGGTTCAGTGGCTGAAAGCATAAACTGCTCTTGCAGGAGGATCGAGTTCAGGCACCAGTACTCACAACCAGCTGTAACTCCAGTTCTAGGGGATCTGATTCTGGCCTTCATGGACATCCATGCACAGTGTACATACCCCCCACATACATACATACATACATACATACATACATACACACACACACACACACACACACACACACACACACACAATTAAAGATAATTTACAAAACCAGGATCAACTTAATTAGTAATTGTTTTTCTGTAACAACATTTCTTGGGGCATTCCCTGCAAGGGTATGTGTATATGTACCTACTCTATTTTTAACAGTTGTGTGTTTCTGTATGTTATAGCCAGGCTCTCACTTATTTATCATCTGCTGGCAGATACTTAGTGTGCAGTAGCTATTCTTGTGAAATAGCTTTTAACTCATGAGTAAGGTGCTTTCAATGGCCTTTACTTTTGGTCCACAGTTAGAGATGATATTTATATTTGGAAATAATGAACTTTTTTCTTTAGAAATACTCTATTTTCTTGCAAATTCTGATGACTTTTCTATAGATGGATTTGGTGGTGCCTTCTGTAGGGAATTTCTGTGCAGCCACCATAGGCCTGCCTTTTCATTAAGAACTGTGGCTGAAGAGTGAAAAACCAGGAGAGCATGGAGACAGAGAAGTAGCTCTTGATTCTTGCTTCTCTCTTCATTCTGCCACAAAATGTGAGGTTCTACATCCTAGTCCACACTAGCCATTAAGACAACACATTCACACTTCAAAAAGTACACTGCAGCTCATACATGATCCTGGCACCAGCCAACCTAGTGTACCTAGTAGCTTTGAGGAGCTCCAAACCAGTGAAAGACCCTGTCTCAAGGCTGCTGCCATCTTGGGGAACAGTACCCGATGTTGTCCTCTGGCGTCTGTAGGCACTTTGCCATAGCTGTATGTGCATGGGGGAAATGAGCTCCTCACTTTGCTGGTCTTTCTTTTTGTATTCTGTACTTCTCTGTTCCTCCTCTCTCAGCTTGAATCAACAGCGTTTTCCTTGGAGGCTGTTGCCTAAGTTGAAGCCACGGGGAAGCATGTGGCTGTGACCAACCACTGTTTGGAGACACTGGCACCAGAAAGACGGGAGAAGGAATGGACCACATCCCTTCTCCAGCATCTTCCAAATGAGTGTGGATGGAATATGGGCTCAGTGGAAGTGGTGCCCCTGTACACTGATGGGCCTTCCAGGGTTTTATATGGTCTCAGTGGGTAGGAAGGGAAAGACCATGCTACACCTTCCTTTCCAGGCGGTTTTGAACTTATGACCCTCCTGCCTCATGAGTTTTAGTATAAGAATCCTAGATCACTATGCCTGGCTTATTTCTTTCTATGTAATTTAATATTTACATTAAAAAAAAACAAAACAAAAACAAAACAAAAAAACCGAAAGAGCAGCACAGGCCCTTAGTCCCAGCAGTAGGGAGGCAGAGACAGGTATGAGTTCAAGGACAGCCAGGGCTACACAGAGAAACCATGTCTGGAGAAACCAAACCAAACCAAACAAAAGATACCTAAATCATTTAGAGCCATCAGACTATCAGGATGTCTTAAGAAAGACCTCTAAATTAAAAAAAATAATAATAATAAGGGAGGGGCTGGTGAGATAAATGCATGTGACTTTAATTCATGGAAACAGACGTGGCACTGTCTAGATAGGAAGATGGGCAGTGTGTTACTATCTTATGAAAAAGCAAGGTAGGAATGGCAGACAAGGTAAGAGACCCGAGTCTGTATTTCCCCGACACTGAGGACACACAGCAACAAGCCGGAGATTTTTATGAGGTTCTAATTTTGAATTACGAATAAACCACCTTTCAGAAATAAATTTTTAAATGAAATTTGATATGGCACAAAATCTGATTTTGTTTGAGCGTAGAGATAGAATCGCTTGCAAGCATGTTTGTCTATTTTGAGAGAATGGTTGTAGGAAGATTGTGGTTGTTTATCCTGTGACTACTTTAGTAGGAAACTGGAAATGTAAATCTGTATTTAAATTGTAGTTTCTTTAGCTTGTTATAGTTCCTGGATTTTTTTTTTCCCCGCCCAAGGTAATTGGAAACCTTGAAACACAGAGCCTCCTGTCCACTGTAGGAATATTCTGTGAGTGGTTTGATAAATGCAGTTGGACAGTGAACTTGATTTACAATTCTATGTTTGATTTTGTTATTTGCTGAAGTTGGAGTGTATGGAGAATATGTTCTAGACTGATCTTGTCTTTACAGAAGCAGAAAAATTCAGATCCGGAACATCCCGCCTCACCTGCAGTGGGAGGTAAGCTGGGTACCTAGGCACCTCTAGCTTGGCTTCTTTTTACACTAGGAATTCGAGGCTTTGAGACTTGCCCCCGAAACTCTGGGTCCTGTCCTTCCTTTCCAGTGCCAGGACATACAACGTGAGTTAGAGATTGTGTTTGTCCCTCTCTGGCAAATTATGCTCTGGCCGCTCACTGTCTTCTCCATTAGGTGCCAGGCCACAAGCCCCGGCACACAACCAGGAGACAGTGTGCACCCTTTTGTGATAACCATCACATGATCTGATGAAAGATTTTCATCATTTCACATTCCGATTTGCTGAGGACCCAGTGGCCCACCACTGTTAAAAACAAATGGCCCTAACTTCCAAGTTCAATTTTAGTAGTCATACTGAGTGGCTTACCCATAACCCTGGATCCAATACATCTGGTCTCCCCGCGTGGGCACACACACACACACACACACACACACACACACACACACACACACACACACACACAGCATAGTGGCATGTGACTTTAATTCTAGAGCTTGGGAAACTGAGGCAGGTAAATCTCTTGAGTTTGAGGCTAGCCTAGTCTACATAGGGATTTCCTAGACAGCCAGACCATGTCTCAAAAATAAATCTTTAAAAAGAACAAACTTTTTAAAAAAGATTTATTATTTTTTATGTGTATGTATGTGGGTCTGTGTACACCACTTGTGCTCAGAGCACATGAGGTCAGAAAAGGTCATTGGATCCCCTGAAACTGGAGTTGTAGACAGTTGTGAACTGTTATGTAAGTGCTGGGAATGAACTCAGATCCTCTGCAAAGAACAGTATATATTTTTACTGTCATCTCTCTCTCCCCATGGACAAATTTTTTACTATGGAAACTTTGAAGTGTACAAGTGTATTACTTGAATACATAAGGAGGTCCCTGATGGAAAGCTGAAGGAAGAACTGTTAAGTCCCCTACAGGAAAATGGGCTTTTCCTTCACTGTGCTTTTCAATTCAACAGCATGGTTTGTGTCATCCTAGGAGTATGACTGTTCATTTACCAAGACTCTGAAATTATGTGGTGTCATCCAACTGGATAAGTTGTTAGGAACCATTCGAGGGGGGGGGGGGTCCTGAGTAGTCAGACTTGTTGAGTTCTTGTGGAAGATCTGAAATGCCAACTTATTTACATTATTCCTATGTCCTTGTTTTAGTGTGTATCAGTTGCAGAAAGAAATCATGTCTTTTTTATGATCTTTTCTTCCTGTTCCCTTGCAGGTATTGGATGGACTGTTGGCTGAATGTGGGACAGTGGAAAATGTGGAACAAGGTAATGAGTGAGGCAGTTTAGCTCACTGAACTTTGGAGAGGGCATTGTCTGTTATTTCTTAGGTTAGGGTCATCAGTGAGCAGTAGCCCCAATGTCTTTGACACGTGCTTTCTGTTCTTTCTGTCTATATACCTGCCTGCCAGAGGCATCTGTGTCTATCTGTCATCTCTGTATATCTATATAGTTCAGTTGTTAAAGGAATGTTCTTTCAGGGTCTCTTTGTGTAGCCCTGTTTGGCCTGCAACTCACTCTGTAGACCAGGCTGGCCTCGAACTCATAGAAGCTCACCTGCTTCTGCCTCTGAGTGCTAGGATGAGAGGTGTGGCCACCCCACCAAGCACTCAGGCTTTCTAACACCTGCAGTGAGCATGAGCGCTGGACAAGCACAGTTGGGCAAGTTTAATTCATCTGAGAACAGTTGAGTTTACACTGCGGTTACCTAAATAACTCCACCACACTAGGAGGTGAGGACACAACAAAAAAGGGTTATTTACTACAAGGTAGCATTTTCCCACCAAGATTCCTGGGACATGCATGAAAGTGTGATTCCTGGGGTTCACCACAAACCTGCAGAGACTCAGGGTGGAGGGAGTGGCTCATGGTTGAATCAAGAATTTCTGAGTGGTTTTATGTGCACTCATATCTGAGGCTCACCATAGGAACAGCACTGCATATGCTACTCATTTTTGTTGGCCAGTGCCTGAAGTACTGGTTTTTAAGGAGAACCAAAAAGGCCCCCAAAGTTGATGTCCTATGTAGTTCTGTAGGAGTCCAGAAAGGTAGATTCCCAAGACCCTGACAAATGAAGACACTAAAGTATAGTAAAGATGAGTTTTACATTGAGAACCCTTGGGACAGTCGCTCAGCCTCACCAACTGAACTGCACTAATTCTGTCTCCAAGTGTGTAAAATGAGCATAATTTGTACCCTTCATACAGCATCGAATGCTCACATCACTCAGTGAGAACCTGTTGATGTATTTTGTAGACAATTGCAAAGGATCATAAAGTCCTCAGGAAACAATCATATAGAATCCGATTTCTCCCAGATGGTCCGATCTGTCAGTGTAATTAGCATAATTGTTGTGAACCAACAGTTATTAGGGTGTGCTCCCTTCCACGATTATTAAGAACATGACACCATTTCTCGAGGCTGCCTGAGTTGAAAGGGAAGCACTCAGAAGATAAGCTTTCTATGAAGTCTGTTTTCCGTTTTCACTTCCTTATGGTTGACAGGATGATATTCTGGTAGCAAGATGGCTTTACAGATGTGAACTTGAAAACAATTTTAAAAACAGTGCTGATCTGGGTGTGGTGGCACATGCCTGAAATCCCAGGTTTGGAGTGTTGGAGACAACTAACATCATGAAATTGAATCAGGATGGTACTACCTGAAAAGGAGGTGTTCAAGGGCAACACACAGCCCTTCAGCACCTGAACAGTGGAGACGGCCCAGCTTCCAGTGCCTCAGGACACAGAGCAAGCTATTGAGCTCTTCTTTGTCCTATTTCATGGGTGATTTCTATCCAGCAGAGCCCCTCAATACGGTCTTAGGAACATGGCTTCAATGACCAGTGAAATAAATTATTTAAATGGAGCTCAGCTTACTCCAGAATCAAGGACCACAAAACTTTCAGAAGACAAGCATCTTTGAAGAACAAAGAAGTACTTATAAAATAAGTGAAATGCAGGGCAACATGTTATATGTGCAACTGATTACAGAGTGTAACATGATTTACAGGTTCTATAAAGATAGTAAACAGATATACATGACTACAGTTAGGATAATACGGTGTTTTGTTTATTTTCCTCTGAAGTTAGCTTTCCATGGGCCAGGGGTGATATCTATTTTAAAATGATGATGTAGTTTTCACTTCTTCCCTAGTCAATACAGATACAGAAACTGCTGTTGTCAACGTCACCTATTCAACAAGAGAAGAAGCGAAGATGTAAGTGGTTTGGGTTTATTTCCTTGCAGGTTTATTTGGGTTTGTCTTTGGTGTCCTTTGAGGCCTGCTTCGGGAAACCTTCCTGAGAAACAGGTTCCAGCCAGTCCACATCCTCTTTGACATGCTAGGACAACTCCAGGGTACCCATGGCCTCTTGGACTTGCCTGTACAACAACTCCAAGGTGTTCTTGCTACTTTGGGCATGTCTGTGTAGAGCCAGGGAGTTCAAACTGGCGTATTGAGTGGTTGTGCATGAACTCTGTCTGAAACAGTGTTGAACCTTAGCATCAGCAGAAAGACAAGAGCCATGGCAGGAAGAGCTGGATACCAGCCTTAGGATACTGTGCCCATAGACTCATTTGACAAGCTTTTACCAGAGCATGCTCCATTCTCCACAAGAAAACACACAGCCTCCTGTGCACACTCACTGAATGGAGACTAAAGCAACAGTTTTCCTGTGTATAATATCTTACAAAGTGTCCACCTCAAGGACAATAGCAGGCTTGATTATCTGGGAGTGTTCCTCCCATGTGCCTGGCTTGGACTCCTTACCTACTCCATTCCTTACTCTATTGCTTCAGTAATGATTAGAGTTTACTATTAACAGACATGGGATTACCTTTTTAAGCAATCACATGCAAAAAAAACAGTCTTTCTTTTTCTTTAATCTTTTGGGCTTTTTTGAGGTGGGGAAGGGTTATAGCCCTGTACCACCATGCCTAGCTAAGAGGTTTCTTTTGGTAGGAGTCCTTGAAGTACCTCGTAAGCCAGTGTAATGTAGAGGTGTAGCCGGTGGTCATACTTGATGGCTGTGTATAGCCACTGTGTACCCATTCCCAAGGGAATGACCTCACTGCTGTTGCAGTTTCCATACGAAGACACAGGTTTAGCCATTTTCATACAGCAGTCTCAGATTAATTGTTCATTGCTAAAATACCGGCTCATTAGCTCCGCCACCTCCGGCCATCATAGCCATAGCCCAGCCACTTGGGTAGCATCTACACATTACTCTTGCCTTCCTTGAATTCAGAAGGTCTTGTCTTATAATGAAGCCACAAACTCTCAATGTTACCCCAGTAGGATTTCTGCAGAAACATGTAAAGACATTGTCTCATTTCATGTACAGTTTTTAAAATAATGAAAGTTAAGTTTTGTTGTTTATAATAGTTATTTTTAGATAAGTCTGTAACTTTGAGGATTGAGGGCTAAATACACCCTAACTGATATAGAGTAGTAAATATTGAAACATTACCAGAAGGACACTAAGCCATCTCATCTCCAGGAGTTTGCCCCAGAGGAGAGGCTACACCTTTAGAGGTACCCATGACAACCTGTGATTTTCAAGAGATGGGGCACAATTTACAAACTAAAGGGAGGCTCAGTAGCAAAAGTAACAGTGAACCAGAAGGCTGGTTGGTCTCATTTTAAAGTTGTGTCAAGTGGAGTGGGCAATGAGTTATATAAAAATATTTGATAATTAAGAGTGTTAACTGATTTTTAAGGTTTAAAAATAATATGTCCACTTTAATACATTTTTGTAAATAGTATATAATAAAGACAGGGACACTATAGTATGAATATAGTTTCCTTAATTTTTGCTTATGAGTTTCAGAATCTCAAATATATTTAAATTTTGTGGTATGATTATAATAATCATGAAGATATGTTATGATTTAAAAAAAGTAATAATATTGGACCCGTATCTATAGTTTTTGGTGATGGAAAGAAATGGAAACAGAAGAATATGTGTAAGTCACCTAGATTTAGACACCAAGAAGCTTGTTTAATCATTGACTGAGACTCTAGGGCCAAGATGGGGTTTGTCTCGTTCACCCCTATATTCTTGATGCTCACCCCTGTATCCCTGCTGGGTTTCAGAGCCATTGAGAAGCTAAGTGGGCATCAGTTTGAGAACTACTCTTTCAAGATTTCCTATATCCCTGACGAAGAGGTGAACTCCCCTTCACCTCCTCATCGAGCCCAGCATGGGGACCACTCTTCCCGGGAACAAGGCCACAGCACTGGGAGCTCTTCTCAGGCCAGACAGATTGACTTCCCTCTGCGCATCCTGGTCCCCACCCAGTTTGTTGGTGCCATCATTGGAAAGGAAGGCTTGACCATAAAGAACATCACTAAACAGACCCAGTCCCGGTAGGTGCCTCCAGCGTTTCCCTTGCTTGCTTCTGAGAGGTAGCCTGCATCCTGTCTCCATCCTCGGGTCACTTGTTGCTGTAGTGGGAAGCTGTGCCTCATGGAACAGTGCTTTTCTCCATAGATGATGAGCAGACTCACCTCAGGTGGGGGCTGTGATGGGTGTTCATGCTAATGACGTAATCCTCATCCCCGGAAAAGCTAAATCCATAAAAAGATAACCCCTTCTGCTAGCATTTTATGAGCACATCTAGTGCCACAGTGACTGGTAGGGGCTGTGTGGTCATAGAATGCTTCCAGTCTGGGCTCTTACCGCCGGCTGAGTCAGCCTTGGAGTAGCCACTCTGTAGACCATCTAGGTTGTCTCCTATAGTAGTTGTGGGTCACTGCTACATCAAACAAGAAGCTATCTGGCTTTGTGTCTGATTTTTCTGTTTAAGAAGACTGAACTGGAGGTAGCAGTCAGTTGACAAAATGATTCATTCAATTGTTGACTTTTTTATATGTCTATAAGACCCCGGCACACTGTAATGAAGATATAGGACTTGAAAACAGTGACACATGTTCAGGTTTTTATAAAAATATCTCACCTCTTTGAGTATTGGTTGCTTCTGTGAAAAAGGAAGCCACTGTATTTTACCAGGATCGTTGTGAGAATGCAAACAATTGGGCACATCAAATGAACTCACATTTGCAAAGCACCAAATTGCCAGCAGATACTCTTACCCAAGCTGGCGTGTCTTATTCCAGTCACTGAGTGAATGTCCTGTAGCCTGCAGAGGAGCCCCTAAGCTTGATCACTATAAAGAAAGTTATTTCTCTCTGTTCTGATTCCAGACACTGTGTAAGGTGGCTCAAGTTTCAATGAAGTGAATGAAATTAGTTCTCAAAATATGTGCTTGGGTTTGAGGAGGAGGTTCTTTCTAACAGCGGAAGTGAGAGGGGCTCAGTTATGTGATTCCAGAAATAAACAAAACAAGCAGGACCCCCACCACCACTACCAAAGAAGTTCAAAGAGTCTTCAGTCTTAAGCAGTTAGTTTTAAGAGCCTAGAAGAAGGCAGACTGCCACCAGAAAGGAAACCAAGACCGTAGGATGGCAGAGAGGCACACCTCTGCCCCTCTGTCCACGCTCAGATACATAAAGCTTGCCTGAATTTGGTGTTGAATTGGATGGATATATGGCTTTTAAAAGCTGTTATCAGTGCAGAGGTTGGAACTGCTCCATTATGCTACCCCCTTCTCACTTTATTCTTCACAACTACGGATATTTGAAAAGCTTCGCAAAAAATCTTCATTAACCAAACTGGCTTTCTTACCAAGTTGTCTGGAGCCTTGGTGATGCAGCATGCCTGTCAGAATGGCCCCCTTCTTTAAAAAAAAAAAAAAAAAAAAAAAAAAAAAAAAGAATGGCCCCCTTCTGACCAGAGTTGCAAAGGATCAGTTGCAAGTGTACTGATAGCATTTCCTCTGTTCTCATGGTATTGGCCAGGCCTGTTTTCCTGCGTCTGAGGCCCTATTGGATGATGCTATGCTATAGCCCCTGATTCTTTTCCTATAGGGTAGACATCCACAGAAAGGAGAACTCTGGGGCTGCAGAGAAGCCTGTCACCATCCATGCCACCCCAGAAGGGACATCTGAAGCATGCCGCATGATTCTTGAAATTATGCAGAAAGAGGCTGAAGAGACCAAACTGTAAGTTTGTGCAATGCTCAGACCACCCAGTGCTGTAGGATTAAGAAATAAGTTAGAAGTTCCACAAGAGGGCTAGAGAGATGGCTCAGCGGTTAAGAGCATTGGCTGCACTTCCAGAGGTCCTGAGTTCAATTCCCAGAAACCACATGGTGGCCCACAACCACCTATAATGAGATTTGGTGCCCTCTTCTGGTGTGCAGGCATGCATGCCAGCAGAATACTGAATATACATGATAAATAAGTTTAAAAAAAAAAAGAAAAAGAAAAAGAAGAAGTTCCACAAGAACACAGCATATAGAATCAACTGTCCAGGACTCATGGGGGCTCACATAGATCAGGGAGCTTGTAGGGGTCTGACCTATGTCCTCTGCATATATGATATGGTTTGGTGTTCTTGCAGGATTCCTAACAATGGGAGTGAGGATGGTTCCTGAGTTTTTTGCTTACTAATGGGACCCTTTTCCTCTTCCTGGGTTGCCTCGTCCAGCCTTGATGTGACAGTATGTGCCTGGTCTCATCGTATCGTATTATGCTTTGTTTGGTGGATGTCCCTGGGAGGCCTGCTCTTTTCTGAGAGAAGACAGAGGGATGGTAGATCTGGGGAGAGGAGAGGTTGGGGAAACTGTGGTCAGGATGTAACATATGAGAGAATTTTAAAAAAAGGATGTGTTTAAAAGCTCTAAGTGTGTTACTCAATAAAGGTAGAGCGGTTCTCTAGAGGAATAGAACTGGTAGAATGAATTTATGTGTGTGTGTATTCATATACATCAATAATGTATATATTATATGAACATATATGAATATATTATGTGTACATATAAATGAGTATATGTGTATGGAGAGAGAAAGGGAGGAAGAGAATTTATTAGAATGGCTTACAGACTGTGGTCTGTGTGGTCTGTGTGGTCCAACAATGGCTGTCTACCAACAAGAAATCCAAGAGTCCAGCATTTGTTCAGTCCATGTGACTGCATGTCTCAGATGGTCTTCAGTATATGGAACCCTGAAAAAGCAGGCTTTAATGCCAGTGAAGGAATGGACGACTTGCCAGTGAGAGCCAGGGCAAGCAGGTGAAAAGCAACAGCTTCCATCTCCCATGTCCTTTATATAGGCTGCCATCAGAAGGTGGATCTTCCCACTGCATATAATTAAAAATAGTGGGTGGTAGTGATGCACACCTTGGATCCCAACAGCAGAGGCAGCAGCTGGTGGAACTCTTGAGTTCAAGGTCATCCTGGTCTACAGGGAGTCCCAGGACAACCAGGAATTCACAGATAAACCCCTGGCCATTAAAAAAAAAAAAAAAAAAAAAAAGGGAAGAAAAAGAAAGATATCTCATAAGTGGACACAGTAACAGCTTGGGTTTTACTTAAATTTATTTAATTATATTTATCTGTAGTTTTTAAAAAAACATTGTCAGTCTTCGAAGTTTGCCTGCAAGCAGTGTGGCAGCCTCCTAGAGGAGCAGGGGGTGGGTTGAATACTAAACTCATTTGGCAAGTGGTAGGTGTGATGCATGAAAGCAAGACAAATGTTGTAAAAAGAGCAACACTGCTAATCTGTTTTCATGTCTCACACAGGGCTTAGCCCCTCATCTAACGGGAGCCCTTCTTTGATCTAAATTATTGAGGCTTTTTACAAATATCACCCTCCTTGGCTGTTTTGATTAGTTGTGTACATGTAGTAAAACACACAAGATGGGTGTGAGTGGGGATTTTAAGATGGCGTACGGAACAAGATGGAGTTGGGATTTCTGACATGAGGGTTTCTGAGTAGCTGCCCCATGCCAAGCACTGAACTTTGTATTGAAGCTACAGCTGCCAGCAGGAGTAAACGCAGTCGTGAGAAACCAGCCTGCTGACTGTACACGAGGACACTCATCCAAGATTCAGGGACAGAGTGACTTGGGGCTCCAGGGAGGACCGAGCCCAGAAGGGGCAAGTAACAGGCAAAGGATACATGACAAGACACTAAACTTTCTTCTTATTTGCCTAGTGTTTATCAGGTACCATGTGCTGGATGTGGCCGTATGCACTGGGGATGTGGCAGGCAGGCAGGCAGGCAGGCAGGCAGGCAGGCAGGCAGGCAGGCAGGCAGACTTGTCTGTAGTCTGGGACAGTATCTTGCTGTAATGTGTCTCTCCATGCAAAAGAAGTAGAATACACAAGTGACTTAAATAGTAAGAAGCATATTGTCACATAACACAAAGCCCTATGTTAGAAAAGCTCTTGGGTCACCGGAACCTTGGGCTCAGAGGCCTGGGACAGTTTTCTGTTTTGCTTTCCTTACAATATCTCAGACCTTGTATCACTATAGAAAGGTATCCCAAATTAGAAAGGAAGAGCATCACTTCCTGTGCTTTTTTAAATGTTTGGAAGAATTGTGATAAAATACACATGACATTATATTCATTCATACTTTAGGAAACACATGTCCTGAATTTTCTCAGGTTGCAAACCTGAGCCTCCCGGTGCCCATGAAACAGCTTCTGGCAGCCTGTTCTTGCCTCTCTGTTTACCTCCTGTTCTTACCACTTGCTTTACTTTAGACCAGTGGTTCTCAACCTGGGGTCACAGCCTCCTGGAGTCAACCTTCTCATGGGAGCTCCACATCATTTGTCCCCCTTGTCAGGTATAACAGTAGCAAAATCACAGGTAGGAGGTAGCAGCGAAAATCATTTTATGGAGGGGGTCACCACAACATGAGCTGTATTAGGGGTCACGGCATTAGGAAGATTGAGAAGCTCCGCTTTAGATACTTGACGTGAGTGGGTCCCATGGATCTGTCTTCCTGTGACTGGTTTATCTCAGTCCCCAAGCTCGTCCAGCTGTAGCGCGTAAAATGTCCACCCTTTTGTCTGGGTTATAGTGCTGTAACCTCAACTGTTTCTCGATGATATCACTGTGAATGTCAATTTACAGATAGTCACAATTTTTATTTCTTTTTGATATATATCCAGAAGTGGGGTTGCTAGATTATGTGGGATTCTATTTTTTAATTTAGTTCCCAATGGCCAGGCCACTGCCATCTAAGTACTGGCAAAAAGAAAAGGGAAGAAGAGTTACCTCTGTGTGGCTCATTTTAGTCAGTTTTTATAAGCTGAGGGTGGGAAAGAAGCTTCAGGAGATGGTTTCCACTCATAAAAGTGAAGTAATGACTCTCGAACCCCACACAGCGTCCATCCTGAGTGTTGAATGTGCTTTGTCTTTTTAGGGCTGAGGAGGTTCCTCTGAAAATCTTGGCCCACAATGGCTTGGTTGGAAGACTGATTGGCAAAGAAGGCAGAAATCTGAAGAAAATTGAGCATGAGACAGGGACCAAGATAACCATCTCATCGTAAGTGACCCCTTCAGACTGATTATGTGTAGGATCGACTGATGAGCATTTCTCCAGAGGGGAGATGCTCAGCCATTGCCAGTTACTCTGGGCAGCAGTGGGAGCAGCTCCAAAGGTGGGCTCCACAGTCCACCAGAGCTCTCACCAGCACGAGGGAGGCCCTGGGCTCCACCCCAACACCACACTGCAAAAAGGTTAAAATAAAAAATACAGTCGCTTCGGTGGCACAAGCCTGTCATCCAGGCTCTCGGGAGAAGAGTCAGTTGAACCTTGACTGCACAGTGAATTCAAGGATAGTCTTAGTGAGCCCTTTCAAAACATAAAATAAGACTCGGGGTTAGAAGGGTTTCTAGCACTGTGAGGCCAAGGTTCAATCCATAGTGTACACATCACACACACACACACACACACAGAGAGAGAGAGAGAGAGAGAGAGAGAGAGAGAGAGAGAGAGAGAGAGAGAGAGAGAGAGAGAGAGAGAGAGTGTCAGTTACTAGTAACTTGAGATTAGATTGCAGGATTCTGTGCTGTAGTGTTAGGAGAAATCAAGTCTTTACCAGGATGTGTCTGTGGTCTGGAATTTTATTCTTCCTGTCTTTTTCTCCATTGGCCAGCTTGCAGGATTTGAGCATATATAACCCTGAGAGAACCATCACAGTGAAGGGTACCATTGACGCTTGTGCCAATGCTGAGATAGAGATCATGAAGAAGCTTCGAGAAGCCTTTGAAAATGATATGCTGGCCGTTAATGTGAGTACCCAGTTCTTGTGTCCCTGCTGATCTTCCCATGCTTAGGGCAGGTCCCAAGCTCTGTGAGGTTAGCTGTCCTTCAGCTGAGGAAGTGCATTAGGGAAAGGAGCTTCCAGCCTCTTAGGATTAAGTAGTCAGTAAACTGTGCTACATACAGGTCAGTGTGAGCCAATAAAATCACACTTTACAGGCTGTAACGAGAGTGATGCTTGCAATCACACGTATTAGAAAAGGAAGAGGTCAGAGCTGGGCTACACATATATGTGTAAAGTGATGTGGGTCAACAGGGCTGGATGCCACATACAAGGATAAAAATGTAGGGCCAGGAAAGTGTGTTCTTCTGTTTGCTCAACTTTGTATAAAATTGTCATGTCTTCTCTCTCTTTAAACTTTCAAGGATATGCTTTAGCTAGGCTTGGTGATACACACCTTTAATCTCAGAACTGGAAAGACTGAGGCAGGTGAATGTCTGTGAGTTTGAAACCAGTCTGGTCTGTACACATAATGAGCTTCCAGGTTATCTGGGGCGACATAATAGGGAGACCCTGCCTCCATCATAAACATAAGTTGACTGGGCTGGAGGTTTGCCTCTGTGGTGATATGTGTGTAGCATATGTAAAGCCTAGAGCTTATTACTCAGGGTCAAAACAAATGGCCTCACTTGGTACAGAGACCTTGTCTAGTTCGAGCTGCTTGGGGGTAAATCTGTTTGAAGCAGCCATTTCAGAGCGGAGGAAGGGAGGGGCTAACTTGTGATTGGCATCTCTTGCTTGCTGGTTGGCACTCTTAGTTTGCCTAGTAAATGCTGTCACACATCTGAGTGCTCTCTGGCACTTGAAGAAGACTGCACGCCCTTCCTGTTACTTCCTTCTCACTTTATAGTTGTTTAAAATTATTTCTCCATCAGCAAAACTCAGAAGAGCAAGGCTCAGCTCAGAAGAGTAAAATCTTTCATTTTTCACTATAATTTTCTGAGAATAGAAGGGTCCTCAGCTGTCATGGGCCGCAATTCAGCTTCCACATTTATCATTGACCTCTGGGCTCCATTTGACCCTTCACTACTTCCTGTCCCACCCACCAACACTTCACAGAGGACTAACTGTTGACAGAGTGATCTGTGCTGCAGCTCCTCCTCTCACAGCAAAGCTGCAGCTTTCTCAGGTCCCGGCCCATCCCCCACCTCTCCAGCGCCACCTGGTTGCCGCCCGCCTACCACACAGTAGCTGTGGGACACAGTGGGATGCCTTTGTGGCAGTGTCATTTGGCCATCTCATTCTTTTCTTGTGGGCTTTTAATGTCTTTGCTCAACATCTCTTTCCATGAACACCTGGCTATACTAAAAAAAAGTTGTAGGTGCTCTACACACCGCCATTTCAGAGCCATACCCGTGCACCATGAGATAGCACAAAATCTGGTGCTCCTGGTGAAGGAGCCAGGTTTGCTGGTTTTGCATTCTTACAAAAAGAGACATTTTCTAGGGTGACTTTATATTCAGAAAGACAGACAGAAAATCTTGGAAGTCTGCTTCGCGTTCAGGAAGCCAAGGATTGGGGGCAGGCTGGGCACAGGCAAGCATGGGGGATGGTATCTCTCTGCCTCCAGCCCTGGTGAGCATTCTAGGTTGAAATATGAAATAAGAAATGAGATCTTGAAGGGCCTGAGTCATCCTTGGGTGACTAGAAAAGACTAGTATTTGTTCTCACTCACAAATATTTATTGAGTACTGCTGTGTCAGACACTGAATATAGCTTCAAGCAAAATGGCCACTGATCCAAGGAAGTGAGGCAGGAGCGAGGCATTGAGTCAGGAACTCTGTCTTGTATCTTTGAGAAAAATGGGAATATTAAGAGAGCGTAGAAAGGCCATGTGAACTGGGGGGGGGGCACCTGAACAGGTGAGGAAGGAGTGACAACAGGCACAGGGTATTCAGGGAGCAGGGTTTGGTGGGTCCGGGGCGGGGCTTCACGGGAAAGCACTGAGAAGCATTGAGTAAAGACATCTGTGGCCACAGTCCGATATGGAGATAACGTGAGGGTGGCAGGGAAGCTTGGAAGCAATGGAAGTTCGGTTGAGAGGTTGAGATTTGTTGTCCATGCCCAGTACAAGGTGAGGAAGTCCAGGCACTAGGGTGAGCTGTCTGGGAAACTCTGGTGCTGTGCAGATAGGAGGTGGAGGCTGGCCACAGCAAGCCTGGCCTCTCTGGGCTTCTCTCCCTCATCTCTTTTCTTCATTTCTGTTCCCAGCAACAAGCCAATCTAATCCCAGGGTTGAACCTCAGTGCACTTGGCATCTTTTCAACAGGACTGTCCGTGCTTCCTCCACCAGCAGGGCCCCGTGGAGTCCCCCCCAGTGCCCCCTACCACCCCTTCGCTGTAAGTAGCTCAGAGTCCTGAGGGTCACTCCTGCTGGGCAGCTCCAAGCAGCATAACTACTCTGCTCTGTTAGTAAGGGCAAAGGCTTGTATTTGCAATCTGTCTTCATGGATGATTATAATATGAATAAAAGAGCTTGTCTGGTGGGGAAATGGATACTGATCCAGGCTCTGAATGTGTGCTCTCAAATACGGTGTTGTGCCACAGAGAAAAAGAACCACTCACCAATGCAGTAACTTGACGTCCATTTTATAAAAATGCAGTGGTGGTGCACACCTTTAACCCCAGCTCTTGGGTGGCAGAGGCAGTTTGAGGCCAGCCTGGTCTACAGAGCAAGTTCCAGAGCAGCCAGGGCTACACAGAGAAACCCTGTCTGGAAAAAGAAGAGTCGTTATTTCAAACGACATTCATGCATGTTCGTTATTTAATACAAATGTTAAAGATACATGGATTATTCTTAACAGATATCATTCCCACCTTTGTCCTTAAATCAAACATATTTTACTGAAAGGAAGTTTTAAAATGAAAACACCACAGTGTTTGATGCTAAACCCCACTAAAAACTGCCTAGTATTTAGTAGGTTATCAGTAAGTATTGTTTGACTCAGAATTCTCAGCAATAGAAATGTGATTGTGTTTTCTGCTTGTTGCCCTCACCCACAATTATCATTCAAGATTAGTACATTACCAATTGAGGACTGACACACTGAACTCATGACAGCTACCCTCCCCCACTTTTCTTCTCTTAAACATTGTTTTGTGTATAAACTGTTTCTATGGAGAGAATCAAGTGGGTGAACTCGGTTCTGCTCTCTGGTGTAGGCATGGCTAGTGGCTCTCGGGGGTTCCCTGTGTTTACACCCTCAACATAGTCATAAAGCGGCACCACACCTACAGGCCTCTGTCACAGAAGCTTCTCTGAGGTGCTTGGGAGCACTGCAAGCCATCTCTTGAGTTACCCTGAACGGTGTGTGTGTCTGTAAAGGAAGGTTGTGGCAGAAGCACATTGGACGGATGTGGAGTTCATGTCCTTTACCTTTGCTGTGAGATGTAATAACTTACTTAGCACCATTTAAAAAAGGTGCCGAAGACATCTCACTCTCCGGGAGGCTGCACAGGGAGCCCAGTAGGGTCTGTCTAAAAGTGAAAGCTCTTAGTAACTGAAATTATAGGAGAAAATGGTGTATGCAATTTAAATATCACAGCTTTCTCTTAGACCAAATTGGTGCAGAATTTTTAAGCAGAAAGATAATGTTAAATAAAAAGTAAGTAAATAAATAAATAAACAAACAAACAAAATTTAAAAAAAAAAAAATCCCTAAAATGTAGCTCATGCCCATAGTTCTAGCAGCTGGGAGACTGCAGGGTAGGATTCCAAATTTCAGGCAGTCTGGGCTACATAGCTACACCCTGTCTCAAAAATGAAATCGATAAATAAATAAAAAGTAGAGATAAGATGTTTACTTTGGGGCTTTTGGCCTTTAATGTCATGTGAAGGAAAAAGCCCCTTCATTCAAGATTGTAAAAATGTTTTCCTTGTACTTATTTTCAGTTGTTGGTTTTGCTGGGGGTTGTTTATACTGTATTTTACAGGGCATTTATCTTGATCTAACTTTATTATTTTTCCAAGTGAATAGCCAGTTTCCCAAGTAATTTATTGAGTAATCTGTTGTTTTATCAGTCAATTTGAAATCCAACTCTGCCCTTTGTTTTGCTTTTGATTCTTTGGGACAAGGTCTCATATAGCCCAGTATAGCTCTGTGGCTGAGGATGGCTTTGAACCGCTGATCCTCCTGTCCCAGTCCTGTGCCACAGCCACAGCCACACACCCCACCCCACCCAGGGTGAGTGCACCACCTTGACCTGTTCCATCTGTCTCACACACTACCTCATCGTAGTTCTGTGCTCCATCCCATTCCATTCAACTCAGGTGTCTATACAGAGGTCACTACAGTTTAATGAAAGTGTCCATTTCACTTGTTGGGTTGAAACTCAGTGGAGGGATGCTTGCCTGTTGTATGCAGAGTTCTGGGTTTGCTCTCCAGTATGAGGGGGGAATCCATTTTATCTGTATTTTAGATACGACACCATAAAGTTGTATGTAACAGATTGCTTCCATTTTTAAATGTTCAACCTTGTGATTATTTGTTTCTTTTGATTCCCAATACTATTTGTTTGTTTTTTCAAGACAGTGTTTCCCTTTGTAGCCTTGGCTGGCCTGGAACTCACAGAGAACTCACAGGAACTCACGGCCTGCCTCTGGCTTCTGAGTTGTGGGACTAAAGACATGCACACACCACACACACACACACACACACACACACACACACACACTTATTTATTTTTTAAAAGATGTATTTATTATATATATGGTGTTCCTCCTGCATGCATGCCTGCATGCCAGAAGAGGGCACCAGATCTCATTACAGATGTTAGTGAACCACCATGTGGTCACTGGGAATTGAACTCAGGACCTCTGGAAGAGCCCCTGAGCCACCTCTCCAGACCCTCTTTCTTATTAATAGAGCTTGCAGAGTTTCCTTTTTCTGTTTTCTGCTTATTTCTTTGCTGGTGGCAGTCCTGTAGTGCAGGCTGCCCCACTGCGCCCATGTAGCTGAGGATGGATGGACTCCAGCTTCTGCCTTGCTGCCACCTCTCAGTGCTCTGATGACAGTCATGTGACACCACCGCTGGTTCATGAGGTTCTGGGACTGAACCCAGGGCTTTGTTGCTGAGCTACAGGGGTACCAATTGAGCACTTGCCCAATTTCCTGTTGGGGACTTAAGATCTCTAGGTGGATGAGGGTTTCCCTTTGCCACACTGCCCTGCATTCTCTGGGAGCTTTCGTGCTGTCAGAACTTGTTCACTGGGCCTGTGGATTGGCCTTGCTGCCCTCTCCCCCTATCTTTATGCATACCTGATGACATATAATTGTACCTTCCTGTATTTTAGTAAACTCGAGAGCATATATTAATGAATCCATAGGGCAGTACTGACAGCGCTCTCCTAAGGCCCCACCTGACTTCACTGAGACTGCTCCAGGCATGAGCAGATCAGGGAAGCCTAAGTGGTTAAGATCTTAGCATGGGAGAGATGTCCCCATTACTCACCTGCTGTTGTGGCATGGATGAGGGAGAGATGCTTTACCTCTCTCTCTCTCTCTCACTCTCTCTCTTTCTCTCTCTCTCTCTCTCACTCTCTCTCTCTCACACACACACACTCACACTCACACATACATACACACACACACACTGCCCATCAACACAGGGGCAGGTGGGAGAGCTGGCCCTGAGGTCATAGGAGCAGGAGAGCTAACTGTCCCTGCCCCTCATCAGCTGTAGGGAGAGTGGCCCCTACTCCACCCTGGGCAACAAGGTAGAGCTGGCCCTGAAGGAGAGCCAACCTTTAGGAAGTGACCAAAGTGGGAGGGCCGGCCCCACCCCCTGCTCAACACTGCAAGGGATGAGCTAACCTGGGCAATGCTGGAGCTCACCCTGGTGGTGAGCACAAGGCTGACCAACCCTGCAATCACTCAGGCTCAGAACCAAGGCTGTGAATTGACCCACCCCATCTGTGATCTGCTGGAGCAGGGGAAGGAAACCTGACCTGCAGACCCAAAGCTGCAGGATCTCCGTGCACAGGGCAACAACAGAATAGCCGAGAGGAGTCCCAGCATTGATAGTGTAGCAAAAACCAGAGACCTCCAACAGACCAGTGACTCTTTGCAGTGAACACAAGGAAAGCTATACTAGGGGGAAACAAGCAAAACTCAGGCTGCAGTCAAACGAAGGTCCAGGTTCATTTTGCTTCTAGTTCTTGCTTTTTAGTTTCTAGTCCCCAGCACCCTCTCCTCCAGTTGCCCTAAGAAAACCAACCCAGAGTGGATAAGCTGCGAGGAACAGGCCTTTTGACAATCTGGGACAGAACACAGAACTTCCCTAAGTTGGAAAACTGTCTAAGTCCTTGCCTATCCTGCACCCCCATCGCTGGCTCCTGAGGGCAGTACCTGCTGTCTTTCCAGCTGGGGATGAGTCTGTCGTCCCAAGAGAGCCCTTGAAGCTCCTGAGCGTAATACACGAGCCTGCCCTGGGCCGCCCAGATGCCTTCCTCACTGTCTGTACCAAGGGCCTGTGGTTTCTCCTGCTTGAAGACACCTCACTCAAGTGTCAGGCTGTCTCGCATCTGTGCCTTGGACCCTGCAGTTCCTCCAGGAAAGCAGGTGACCTGACAGCGCTGGTGTGAGCTTTCACTAACCTCTGCTCTGTACTGTCTGCCCACCAGCAGAGTTAGACTGGGAAGTTTTAATGGGCTGGAGTATGAAAAAGAATTTCTCCCTTGCCAGTGGTGGAGCAGACATAGCTGTCACCTTCATAAAAAACACTACCCCTCCCCCACGTGCTCATACCGTGCTCTTTTAATAAAAATATGCATCTTCTCCTGCATACAAAGATTGGGCCAGTGAACCCAGGGTCAAGGGGAAGTTGCCTACTGATAGGCAGCCGTGGCCCTGTGGGCAGGTGATTGCACCCTGGTCTCCTTAGGTCACTGATAGCTTGCCTTCTGATTACCAGAGGAGTCAGAATTTGAAAATTCCTTTTCATTGGATGCTGTCAGCTCCATCTTGGAGGATGGGGAGATGGGAAAGGGATGGGCACCTGCTTCATTGTAATGAATGTAAATATTCGTTTACACTCCTAGAGCTAGCTAGCTCTTGTAGTCCAGGCTGGCCTCAAACTCACAGAGATCTGCCTGCCTCTGCCTCTTGAGCATTTGGATTAAAGGCTTGTGCTACCACCACCCGGTGTCATTTACACACCTTAAAACAGCCCATCCCTTTTGGCTCACAGATGGGCCTGAGGGCAGGTCCACATCTGGACCAGGCCTGCAAGGCATGATCCTAGCCCCTGCCTTCTCCCTTGTATTGGGCATGCTAACCTTCTGCCTAAATGTCACCTGGGCCAGCCCTCCTGGCCTGATCTTCTAAGAACCCCACTGCTCACTCTATTGCCCTGGCCACTGTCTTAAGACTTATCTGAAGTTATCTTTTGCATTTGTCTCACAAATAGACAGTAAGTCCCCTTATGTCCCTATCTCCTAGAGTAAGGTCTCCCACATGGTGGGTGCTCAAAAGCGTTTGAGTTAGTGAATAGATGGCCAAATGCAATCTGATGTAGGCATTGGAGTCTGGAGAGGGAGGGTGGGAGACTCGGGAAGCTTTGAAAAAATTGTCCCATTTATAGAGATTAGAGATTCAGACTCAGGCGTAGGTCTGAACCTCAGCTAGAAATCTGGCTGCTAAGTTCAGAACTCTTCTCTAGCAACCCTGTGGCTCCTCCTTAGGGCTAGAAGAAATCTGTCCTCATTATCATTTCTACAACTAATTTTGAAAGCTCTCCTTCATCCCAGGCTGAGACTGGTCTGGACAGTGTTCATGTTAGGGCTCTGAGGACTCAGAATACAAGCTGTACTCTAGCTCTATGCTTGTCCTTGCTTGGGGCTTAGAATCACAATCCACAGGGATCGCTTCTGCTGTGACAGCTAAAGGACACATACTTGGGGCCAGAGACAGGCAGAAGCCCCATTTCCCGTGGTTAGAAACTTGAGTGCAAAAAAAAAAAAACAAAAAACAAAACAACAACAACAAAAAACAAATTGCAGTAATCGTCTCCCCTATGCCTAGCAGCCATACCCCAGAAAGGACTGTAACTAGCTTCCCCAGACCCCCGTCTGGTGGCACCCTCTTGTGGGCAGAGGCATCACTGCAGTCTCTTCAGTTCAGTTCAGATGCCACAGGCATGTGACCCTTCTAAAACCTGGGAAGCACTACAGGTGCTCATAACTTCGTCCTTTCCGACCTAAAAGAAGGGTTGGTAAGGAATTATATCTGTAGCTGAGTCTAGCTGGAGAGTCAGACGGTGGGAGACTCTCATCACCCTGAAATGTGTTCAGTGCCCTCAGCTACTCCAAGCTCCATCCTTCTCTCCCTCTGCCAGGCAGGCCTGTGTGCCTTGGTGCCCTGCACCTGTCACGACCTTCCCACTGGTGACAGTGAGAGTGCTGTTTACTTGACCTCATGGAAAACATAGTTAACACAGCTTTGCTGACTTTAGTGTCTGTGAACTCAGATATGTTTCTGTCTCACAGGGCTGCTGTGGGGGGGTAAGAATGTATAAATAAGCTGGGCGGTGGTGGCGCATAACTTTAATCCCAGCACTTGGGAGGCAGAGACAGGCAGATAACAGTGAGTTCAAGAGCAGCCTGGTCTACAGAGCGAGTTCCAGGACAGCCAGAGACCCTGCCTTGAAAAAAAGGGGTAGGGGTTAGGACAGAAGAACTTACAAATAGATACGAAGTATCAGTTCCTGCTATGCTGTAGGTATTCGATTAAAGATTAGCTACTGTTTCAACTTGACTTTCCAGAATAGCTAGCTCTGCTTCATGAGTCCACATCCGCCCTCCTGATTCCCCCCATATCCGTCCTCTTCTTCCCCCTCCCCACATCTGCCCTCCCCCTCCCCCTCCACACATCTGCCCTCCTCTTCCCCCCTCCCCACATCTGCCCTCCCCCTCCACACATCTGCCCTCCTCTTCCCCCTCCCCAATCTGCCCTCCCCCTCCACACATCTGCCCTCCTCTTCCCCCCTCCACACATCTGCCCTCCTCTTCCCCCCTCCCCACATCTGCCCTCCTCTTCCCCCCTCCCCACATCTGCCCTCCTCTTCCCCCCCTCCCCACATCTGCCCTCCTCCTCCCCTCCCCACATCTGCCCTCCTCCTCCCCCTCCACACATCTGCCCTCCTCCTCCCCCTCCACACATCTACCCTCCCCCTCCCCCTCCACACATCTACCCTCCCCCCCCCCCTCCACACATCTCCCCTCCTCCTCCCCTCCACACATCTCCCCTCCTCCTCCCCTCTACACATCTGCCCTCCTCTTCCCCCCTCCACACATCTGCCCTCCTCTTCCCCCCTCCCCCACATCTGCCCTCCTCTTCCCCCCCTCCCCACATCTGCCCTCCTCTTCCCCCCTCCCCACATCTGCCCTCCTCCTCCCCCTCCCCACATCTGCCCTCCTCCTCCCCTCCCCACATCTGCCCTCCTCCTCTCCCTCCCCACATCTGCCCTCCTCCTCTCCCTCCCCACATCTGCCCTCCTCCTCCCACTCCCCACATCTCCCCTCCTGCCCCCCCTCCACACATCTGCCCTCCTGCCCCCCCTCCACACATCCGCTTTTGCACACTTCCTTTCTCTCACTGTCGCTTTCAGTTTCTGCTCACTGAGTTTCTGCTCCTTCTGGAAATCTCTGATGTAGCTAACACCGGTCAGTCTTCCCAGGATCACGTTTGCTTATCCTGAATAACTCTTGGCTTTTGTCCCCAGTATTCTGTGTTGCTTGTAATGCACAACCTGTAATTCCACCATAAAATAGGAGCCACTAGCCCTTCTTCACCAAAGGTGGGTCTGAGCCCTGAGAGTGGGCATGGGCTGGGTTCCTAGAGAGCAAAGCTCATCTTAGAAGCAGCAGCTCTAGGCCTGTTGGACCAGGTGACACCTTGCCAGGATTTCAGAGATTAGAAACCAAAGGTACAAGTCTGTAGATCGTGTGCTTCACAGAGCACACGTGCTGGGTGGAGACAGACACCTGACTCACTGAATGTCTTGTTCATATGCAGACCCACTCCGGATACTTCCCCAGTATGTACCCTCATCACCATTTCGGCCCATTCCCGCATCATCACTCCGTAAGTGCCCCTCTGACCTGCCCTAGCCATCATCCTTCCTGCCCCATGGCTGGCCCCAATGGCCCTGAGGAACAGGCCAGTGAAGGGTCACAGTGTGAATGTTCTCTGCTGTACCTCCAGTCTGTGCCAGGAGTGATACAGCTTAGAGTGTAAGCAACAAGCCACCCTGTTTACAGCGCTGGGGAGCCCCTCAACTCTGTGGCCTCCTCTTAGGTGATTCTCATACTGTGAGTGGGAGGTGGGAGGATTAAGAGGTTGAGGCCAGCCTGGACTGTGTAGTGAGTTTCATGCCACTCTGAGCTACAAAAGACAAGGGCTGGGCATTGGTGGTGCACGCCTTTAGTCCCAGCACTCGGGAGGCAAAAGAAGCAGGCTGAGTTTGAGGCCAGCCTGGTCCACAGAGCAGGTTCCAGGACAGGCTCCAAAATCAATACAGAGAAACCCTGTCTAACAAAGAGAGAGAGAGAGAGAACAAAAGACTAGAGCTGTGGTCATTCATTACAAGTGCTAAGTGCTCACTGCTCTTCCAGAAGACCGGCGTTCCCAGCACCCACGTCAGGGTAACTCAGGGCCACTTGTACCTCCAGCTCCAGGGGATCCAGTGTCTCTAGCTTTTGTAGGCACATGCAATTACACACACACACACACACACAGAGAGAGAGAGAGAGAGAGAGAGAGAGAGAGAGAGAGAGAGAGAGAGAGAGAGAGACTTTATTTTATGTGTGAGTGCTGTATCTTCATGTCTGCCTTTATGCCAAAGAAGGCATCAGATCCCACTGTATAGATTGTTGTGAGCCACCATGTGGGTGCTGGGAAATTGAACTCAGGACCTCTACAAGAGCAGCCAGTGCTCTTAACCTCTAAGCCATCTCTCCAGCCCCCCCCCCCCACTTTTTAAAAATATATTAAAAACACAAAAGAAAGCCAGTTAGAAAATACTTATAAGCTAAAGAAGTTTCCAGTAGATAGGGTATGTGGCTTAGTTGACAGAGTACATGCCGTAAAAGCATGAGGACCTGAGTTTGAATCTTAAACAGACACATAAAAGCCAGGTGTGGGATGTGCTGAGGAAGTACTGACAGAACCCCTGGGTCTCACTGGCCAGGTAGTCTAGCTAAAACACTGAGCCCAGGTTCCAAAGGATACTGTGTCAAAACTAAGGTGGAGTGATCAGCCTCTGACCTCCAGCATGAATGTATACACATGAACATATACCACACTTAATTGGCTGGAGGAGGGTTGGTGTTCTTTAATCAAAGTCTTAACAACTGAAGGAAGACACATCATTCCCATAAGAACCATTGGCACCCTGGCCTAAGAGCCTCTGTCTTTCCTCAGGGGTTTCCAGGGAGAGGTGGCTTGCCCACCTCCCTGGGTCCTCGCCATGGAGCATGGGCACAGCAGGGTGAGTCGCTTTGTGAAATGGTATTCCTAGTTATAGGACAGACTGGACAGCTTTCCCTCTGTGGCCAGGTGTGTTTAATCGTTTTTGCTGTTTTATGTATTAATGGCCAGGCCAACTTTCAGGAATTGTCTCCTTCCACTGTGGGTTCCAGGGATCAAACTCAGATCATCAGGCTTGCATGGAAAGCACTTTTTAATCCACTGAGCCATCACAAAATAACCATTTTGGTTCTTGGATGAAGGCACAAGAAACGCATATCAGATATGTGTATGTTAGAGAACCCAGGGACAGCTGCTAGTGCCCAGCAATTATGGGCTCTCAGAGGTGCTTGTTAACCCTGCTAGTGTTCACAAAGAGAGCGCCAGGCCACACAAAGATCGCGCGTGCCACTTTGGTCATCTCCCCAGGTAGTGAGCCTTCACATACCGTGCTCTTAAGGTTACTTAGCTGGGCCATGAGGTGCCAGGTTAGAGTGTCAGTTGTGTGTGTGTTCTTTTCTAGTACCCAGAGCAGGAGACTGTGAATCTTTTCATCCCAACCCAGGCTGTGGGTGCTATCATCGGGAAAAAGGGAATGCACATCAAACAGCTGGCTCGATTTGCTGGTGCTTCCATCAAGGTAAGATGACCGCTACCAGCTGCTGCCCCCAAGGTCTTCCTCTTGTCAGTGCCGTCAGTTCTTACATGACCCAAAGACAGAATCCACAGGGTGCACTTCCAGGACCATCCTGTCAGCTTCCAAACTTCATTTTAGTCCTTTCCTGTTCAAACAACTGTTACAAGAAAGATGCTAGTGGTGACCAAACCGGGTCCTTTGAGGGTTGGCATTGTCCCTTCTCCCCAAGAAGATAAAAGAGGGATGAAGGTGTTTCCCAAGCTAAGGCAATGGGCTCGAGTGCAGTTAGCGGTTATGCTTAGCACTGAGCACACCAATGCTTCTGTTAGTCCGCGCTTCCTAGGACTTACAGACTGTGAGAAAACAAATGGAATGAAGAACTTTGTGGAAAGTGCTGATAAAATCATAGGCAAACAGAAGTTGATGGTGACACCTGTTAAGAACCCAGGTCTGAGCAGAAGGCTAGAGAAGACCTCTTGGCTTGTAAGGTAGATGTCTACAGATGTGGCTTTCATTAGCCCCAGATCCTGCTTCTCTCTGTTGTCAAGGATTGTTTGTTTGCCATGGGCCTGCTTCAAGCCAGCTGTCAGCTCCGCTGAGATACTGCAAACCCCGTGGAACACTTGGGGAAATGTTTCCCATTGCTATGGAAAATAACTCACTACCATGAGACAACCCAGAATTATGAAACTGGGTCCCATGACTTGGGGAGAAAGAATACTTACACTTTCTCCCTAAAAGCTGGATTTTCTCCCGCAGCAAGTGTGACAGGGGAAAAACAAAACAAAACAAAAACAAAACATTCTGAATTAATGCAGAATGCAGACTGCGGTGCCATGGGGAGAGGATTACACCTTGCTGGACTCTCAGCCTGCATCTGTCTCTGCTTGCAGTTAGAGACTCACATTCAAACTGGGTGAAGCCTAGACCGGGGTGGCTGTGATGAGGGCATGGCGTCCTCTGTGCCCAGTGGCTTGGCACAGGTAGCATTGTGGCCTACGTGATGGAGAAAGCAGGGATGCGAACAGGCTGGCTTCACCCAGATCTTTGCTGGTGCTCAGTGAGACAGTTTGGACCAAAGGGCTTTGAGGACTCTTTCACCCTGGCCTTTACTGGAAAAAGTGAGATACAGAGAGACCAGGCCTAAGTGGTCAGCTTAGCTCTCAGATAAAATTCCACTGACTCTAGGATCCTGAGCATCTGCTATGGCTGACCACAACAGTGATGTCCCCATTTGCTGATGCATATGAGAAATGAAGCCCAAGAGGTCTGACTATCCACCCAAGAACACAAAACTGGAGTGTGACAACCAAGATTTGCCCAGATTGTCCTGTTTCTGTTCCATCCCCTCCTCCTCCCTGGAAACCTTACTGATTCCCAGGAGTGAAGAGGGAGGGAGTTTATGCACGGGTCTCATCACTTTTAGACATCACTCCACAGCCCTCTCAGTTTAGGACTTAGTGCCAGTGTTGGATCTTGAAGTAGACAGGGTTTCCTGCTACCTGTCTCAGGGCCAGCCCACCTCAGTGTCCATCCCCTGAACAGGCTGTTATTACCACCAAGAAGTAACTACCCACCATGGAGAGTGGTCCTCGGGAGCTTGCTTACAGTTTACCTGTATCTTCTGTTTATCTTTATGCCATGGTCAAGGCCAGAGGTCTCCATGAAGGTGTCCCTCTTTCTTGAACAGTACAGGTGACAGCAAGCACACTGTGGAGGCATGTTCCCAAGAGAGCTGGGTCACACCACTGGACTCTAAAGTCCCAGGGTAGACTCTGGCTTAGAGCCTAGATGTGGTGAAAACAGAATCATACCTGAGTGGAGGTCTCCCCTGAGCTTTGGAGACAGCACACCTACAAACCCGTGGGAACGCCACCTCCCTGAGCCCTGGGTTCCCTCAGCCTGGGTGACCCTGTAACTGACTATGTTCCCCCTGTTTTTTTGTTTCCCTGCTTGCCTGAGACACGGTCTCATAGCCTAGGCAAACTGCAAGCCTTCCTGGGGAGCCTGTGCTGACCTGGAGTCCTGATTCTCCTGCTTCCACCTCCTGAGCATGGTCTGCAGCTAATGTTGCTGTGCAAATGCTCTGGCGAAGCTGGGAGTTGAGAATTGTGTTGGATCTTGCATGATGTGCTGTGTGCTCACCTAGATCTCCTGGCTCACCCTTAGGTTCCTGCTGTGCTTTCCATTGTTTTTACTGTGAATTACATTTAACTTTGCCATGATCTGATGATTGAGTTTTAATTTATTTGTTTTGTTTTTGAGGTGAAAATCTTATGTGTTTGTGTTGTCAAGGTAACTTAGCATCTAGTTTCAAATGCTAGGACTACTAACATGGACTACTAGATCCAGTTCAGTTTTGTTGCCACTTTTTCCTTCTCCTCCTTCCTCTTCCTATTTTAAAGATTTTCTTTTAAGTAAGTCAGAATGTGCTGGGAGGGAAATGTGATAAGGACCTTGTCTTAGTCAATGCTCTACCAATGTGCCATTGCCTAAGCATTCAAATATGAACTTCTGAGGGGTCATTCTTATTCAAACCACCCACATTCAGTTCCTGGCTGCCATAGGCTTGTAACCATATCATAATGCAAAAAGAAGAACTCCGTCCAACTTCAAAAGTCCTAGTGGTCTATAATAGTCTCAACACTATTTAAAATTCCAAAGTTCAAAGTCTTTTCTGAGACACATGGTAATCTCTTAGCTATAACACCTATAAAATCAAAATTAAAAAGCAGATCACATATTTACAACGAACAATGGTACAGAGTATACTTTGCCATTCTAAAATGGAGCAAAGGGAACATAGTGAGGAAATACTGAATCAAAGCAAGACCTAAAACCCGCTGGGCAAATTCCAAATTCTGCACCTCCATGTCTGATGTCAAAATGCTCTTCAGACCTCCAACTCCTTTCAGCTTTTTTGACTGCAACACACTCCTCTCTTTTGGATTGGGTCTGCTTCCTGTTAGTAGTTCTCCTCAGCAGGCAGTATCCCTTGACTCTGGCATCTCTTAACATCTTAGGCTCTCCAAGGAAATCCAGCTTCCCTTTCACAGCTTCACACAATGGCCTCTCTGGGCCCTAGGACATTCCTTGTCTCTGCAGCTTTTCTTAGTTGCAGAGAGATATTCTACAACACCTGTTTTGTATCCTTGACTCTAAAGCCAGAACCATGTGGCTGAAGCTGCCAAGTTCTGTTTGCTGGGGCTGTAACTTGGCCCCCTCATTCAGAATACATTTTCAACAGCTTTATGTTTTTTCCATGGTTTCCGTCACTACTTAAACTTTTCTTTAATTCCTCTTCAAAAGTTGACTATTTAGCAGGTGATCTTTCCCTGAGATCACCACTCCCTTTATTCCATTTAGCCTCTGGCATTTCTTTAAACTTTTTATCTCCTTGAGCACAGGATTTATCTCTATTACATTTCCTGATGATACCTTTCTTCTCAAACTGTACATTTTGTATTTTTCCTTGTTCAGTTTGTGAAGGCATGGGTATAATGATTTCACTAGACCCAAGATAAATGATAAATAGATGTTTTATTGGGGAACAACTTACACAGATAATAATAATAAAGGACAACCGCAGCCTGTCTCTGCCCTTCTGATCCGATCTGTGACCCAAGAGAAAGAGAGCTCGAGAGAGCCACCATGCCTCATGCTTTCCTCTTTCTACTACTTCTGTCCACACCTGAAGCCACGCCCAAAGGGGTGTGGCCACTGTTGCTACAAGTTTGCTCCTTTTCATTATAGATCTATATGAGAGAGTGACCACTAATAACCACACAACAGAATCAATACTAGGCTGGCTTAAAATCTCTGCCACAATCTGCCAACAAGCAGCATGGTCAGACCCTGACATAGTAATACTAATACCCCACTTCCTGGTACCAGTTTCTTCAGTCAGTGTTCTGTGGCTATGAAGAGACAACATGACCACAGCAACTTTTTTTTTTGTTGTTGTTGGTTGGGTTTTCAATTATTCGAGACAGAGGACAGAGTTTCTCTGTGGTGTAACAGTCCTGGCTGTCTTGGAACTCACTTTGTAGACCAGGCTAGCCTCAAACTCACTGAGATTCACCTGTCTCTGTGTACTAGGAATAAAGGCTTGCACACCACCACCTGGCATGACCATGGAAACTCTTATGAAAGAAAGCATTCAATAGGGGAGGATTAGAGGTTTAGTCCATTTTCATCACGGAGGGAAACATGGTGCTGGAGAAGTAGCTGAGAGCTCTACATCTGGATCCGCAGGAAGAGAGAGAGAGAGACACTGGGCCTGACCTAGGCTACTGAAACTCCAAACTCCGCCCCTAATAACACTTCCTTCTACAAGGCCACACCTCCCAATTCTTTCTATCACTGCCACTCCCTAACCATTCAAATATTTGAACCTATGGCAAGCCATTCTTACTCAAACCACTACAGCCTCTAACCAAATTATTGGTGAGGTTCCTATTTGTATCCTCACAGGATTAAAAGCTAGCTGTCTCAGTTCTTCCATGCCGCATAGGTGAGTGAGGGAAGCCATGACTGGAAGCAGGGCAGCCTGCTCTGGTTCATCTGTGAACTGAGACCTAGAGCCTGCCTAACCTTTCCTGCAGCTACAGAGTGATTGGATAGTGTTGTGGCCTACCCATTTCTTTTGCTCTCGGGCCTGGGGATTGGCAGACCCTGTGTCCCATAGAGCTTGGCTGGATAGCCTAAGACCCAGGGCAGAGGTGACACTATGGCCTTGTCAACTGGTGCCAGCATGCTCTTAGACAAGCAGAGGACTCACCACCAGCATGTTCCTTTTCTCAAACCACAGATAGCTCCAGCAGAAGGTCCAGATGTCAGTGAAAGGATGGTCATCATCACCGGGCCACCTGAAGCCCAGTTCAAGGTCAGTGCCAAAGACCATGCCAGCCCTGCAGGCTCTGGTACAGGGCATACAGCCCAGAGGTGTGGAGGTTCTCCTGTGGGAGCCTAGTGTCCATTTCCCTCCTGCTGCTTACTGGTCTCTTTCTCTCTCTCCTTCCCCCCTCTCTGTCTCTCTCTCTCCCTCCCCTCTCTCCCCTCTCTCTTTCTCCCTCCCCCTCTGTCTCTCTATCTCTCTGTCTCTCATACACACACATGCACACACTCAGCACACGCACACACACACACACCGCTCTGTAAGAACTGAGTGGGTAGCAGCTGCCCATTTGCCTGGAGAGAATACTGAACACTCTGAAACTGAGGCTCCTAGTTCCTATACAGCCTTGCGGCATTACCAGCAGCTGTCCCAGTCACCAGTCATTTGTTCTCAGGCTCAGGGACGGATCTTTGGGAAGCTGAAAGAAGAAAACTTTTTTAATCCCAAAGAAGAGGTGAAGCTGGAAGCCCACATCCGGGTTCCCTCGTCGACAGCTGGCCGGGTGATTGGCAAAGGGGGGAAAACGGTAAGTTGGCTCCCTACTCCCTACACCTGGGTGAGTTTCCCGCCCTGGCCATGCCTGATTCCCTTAGACCCTCACTAGCTCTTTTGCTCAATGACATACTTGGGTCTGACACATCAGCAGGGATGAGGCATGGGGATTCTAAGGACAGAAAGGTCATCAGCAGGGCTGTAACAGTAAGGGCCCAGTCCCATGGTGTCAAGCCTACCCTATTCCCGAGCGCTGTGCCACCCAGCCCTTTTATATCTGAAGGACAAGAAGGGTACCTCCTACCCTGCCCACACCCACATGTGGACACCACTCTCGACCTGGTTTCCGAGTTGGGAGGCTACAACTCTGGCCTGTGCTCTCTTGACAGCAGTCTCCAGGGCCTCTCCCTCCCCCACTGTACATTTTCTGGTTTCTCAAGTTTGGCTGTCTGCTCTAGGGGAGTTGGCTCAGCAATACAGTGAGAAAAAAATATATTATTAAAGTAACTTATGTGTCCAATCTGAAGGTATCAGTAACACATGTCACCTGAATTCCCAGGCGGAGGTATAATTCAGTGTTAGGATATGTGCTTATCAAGTATGGGATCTTGGGATCAGCCCCCCCCCCAAGAAAAGTATTTTAATCATAGATATCAGTAGGTTACCTGTTAGACACAAGGAATATGACTTTCTCCCTTGGTGAGGGGTGACTGGAGAAGTTCCAGTAGAACTTGGTGATGGTGGAGTGACATTGTTGAGTGGCGGGAATTGGGGTAGGGAGCTCAGGTTCTAGCTGTCATATCCAAAAGAATAAAGTTGACCTGGAAAACGGAGCCCCTGGATCTACAAATGCCATCCGAATCCCAGGCACGCACACTGACTGCTCGGGGCATTTGAAATGTTGGAGACAGAGAATAGAGCACCAACCACTGGATTCTCTGTATCCCCTGGTGAGGTTAGCTGCCCCTCCCTGTGAGCTGAGCATCATGCCAAGGGGCAGGGCATCATCATCCCAGGACTCAGGAAATGGAGAGTGAGTAGAGGATCAGAAGTGCATGGTCATCCTCACCTACATAATCAAGTTCAAGACCAGCCTTGTTTTAAGGAGGGAGAGGGAAGGGGGGGGAGGGGAGGAGTCAGACAAGAGGGGCTCTTGGCCAGCATCCAGGAAGCTGGTCCAGAAATGAGTGTCTAACCTGGGCTCTTACTGGGGTTCCCCATGTGTGTCTGCAGGGTTAGAGCATTCAGCTCCATGGAGTCTGTCAGTCAGCCTTTTGGAGCCCAAACCCACAGGAGAAAGGAACGGACTTGGCTTCCCTGCCTCCCCTACCCCATATCCCTAGTCTCTCCCTAGGTATTGGCTTTATGGGGTGTGGGGTACACTTGTGTCACTCATTTCCTTCTCTGTCTTTCCAGGTAAATGAGTTGCAGAACTTGACAAGCGCAGAAGTTATCGTGCCTCGTGACCAAACGCCAGATGAAAATGCCGAAGTGATCGTCAGAATTATCGGACATTTTTTTGCTAGCCAGGTACTATTTGTGAGGCCCCACATCCTACCCAGCTCTTTCTGCTGGTTCAGATATTGCATTTGTGTCAAGGGGCCACGCACTTGAGCCCCTCCTGACCACACAACACACACAGTGGAAACCTCCCTGACCCCCAACCGTTGGTGCAAGGCTGCTGGCACACCTTGCTTTGGAGCTTGGCATCCCTTGCCCTCCCAGCCTTCCTCTGAGGAGCCACATGTCCAGCAAGCCCCCAGCAGAGCAGCCGGGTTTTACTGTGGAAGGGTAACTACCCACAAAGGGACCCTATCTCCCCAGACCACATCATTGCTGCCCTGCACTCAGAGAAGCCAGTGCTGTGGTGACATGTGGCCTAGTTGTCTTGATGCTTATTGCTGGGCGGGTTTTGGAAGAGGGCAACGGATCCTCTTGTCAGTCAAAGGAGAAGGGCAGGGCATGGCTTCATGCTTGTATCCCACTCTGCCTTCTGTGCCTGTGCCTGTGACTTGCCTAGGCCAGGGGTAGAGTTCAGCTTTATCGGGGTTCCCTCCTTTCCTGATCTTTCTAGTGTTCTGGAAAGGGAGGGAATGAGTGGGAGGCATGGGGGATGGGAATGACACAGCCATGCTCAGCTGTGAGTGACCTTCGACCTCCAACCCCATCACTGACCCCTACTGCTGCTCCTTGGAGCATCTGCTCACTGTGAGCTAGTTCTAGTGCCTGCCCCTCCACACACACCAGCCTGGCACCCTCCTCTCCCCCCACCCCACACCACCTTGCACCCAGCAGGCTTGGTGAGGTAAAGAGGAATTCTGTCCATGACTATTGGGCCTGGGGGAAGTGAGATATTTCTGGGCACTCAACTATCCTTTCCCGAGTCCCAGACCCCCTGTTTCCTGCCGTCCCCAGGACTGGGATTGTGTCTTCCCTGTTCCCTCCCCTCCCTCTCTTTGCTGCAGACCGCACAGCGCAAGATCAGGGAAATTGTACAACAGGTGAAGCTGCAGGAGCAGAAATACCCTCAGGGAGGGGCCGCACAGCGCAGCAAGTGAGGCCCCCACAGGCGCCAGCAAACAGATGAATGTAGCCTTCCCAACACGTGACAGATGAGACCAAACAGCCAGCAGATCGGGAGCAAACCAAAGACCATCCTGAGGAGTGAGAAGTCTGCAGAGCAGCCAGGGTCTGCAGACCCCTGCACCTCCTGGGGTCCAGAAGGGCAGAGGGAGGGCCGGGTTCCCCAGAAACAGCACTTGGCCTGCGCCCAGCTTCCCCTGGCTTCTGCAGGCTCATAGCCATCCACTGCCCATCCACTCCGCTCCCTCCTCAGCTCCCATGGCGCTATCCCTTTGAGTTGAACTAACAGGTGAACGTGCTGAAAGCAAAGCAAGCAAAGCAGACTCCATAGCCTTTCCTTTGTTGTGGGAAGTCGTCTCTGTACATGTATGTACATATTAGAAGGGGAAAGATGTTAAGATATGTGGCCTGTGGGTTACACAGGGTGCCTGCAGTGTTAATATATTTTAGAAGTAATATATCAAATAACTCAACTAACTCCAATTTTTACTCGATTATTAATTTTGTTTTCTTTTTGAAGAGAAAGCAGGCTTTTCTAGACTTCAAAGAATAAAGTTTTGGGTGAGGTCCATTGGTACAGAAAGGAACTTTGAGCCACCCACACAAAATTCACTTGGAGGGAATCTTGTCAAGGACACTTCGAGGCAGTTGTGGGTCACCTGTGTCTATCAACAGAAGGGATACCGTCCCTGAGGAGGGGCCCCAGGCCCTTGTCACCGGTTTGTCCCATACACCCATTTCTTTGCTTCACAGGTTTTAAACTGGTTTTTTTTTTTTTTTTTTTTGCATATTGCTATATATTTCTGTCTCTCTCTGTTTATCTCCCTCCCCTCCCCCTCCTCTTTATCTGATGTTTTTTGAATTCCTTCATCCTTTTCTGTCCCCCCCATATCTATGCACCCCCCCACCAGGCAAAGCAGTTCTCTTGAGTATCACGTCACACAAGGAACAAACTCGAAACACACGAACCAGCCTCAGCTGACATTTGGTTACTCAAACGAACAAGAGTCGTTGGCACGAAAGCGGGAACCCACCAAACCAACCAGCCAAGCAAACAGGAAAAGTCCATAAAGAAAGAATGTACTTTGTCTTTTTACATTTTGGTATATAAGCCATCAACATTTAGTGAAATTATTTCTTTCTTTAAAAATTTAAAGTGCAGGAAAATAGCAATTTATATAAGGTTGTTGGCCCAGGGCGTTAAATTTACAGATTTTTTTTAAAATGAGAAAAACACACAAATAAAACTACCTCAGGTGTTTTTTACCTCAGCACCTTGCTCTTGTGTTTCCCTTAGATATTTTGTAAAACTGATAGTTGGAGCATTTTTTATTTTTTTAATAAAAATGAGTTGAAAAAAAAAAAAGATTTCAACTGCTAGCCTGGAGTAGGCGGCAGCCCGTGTGTAGCAACTGTGCCGACTCGTCTTCCGCTGGGCAGGAGCCTCCGCGGCCTTCTTACGGACAGATCTAAAATGTTTATTTTTAAAAAATGACAAAGAAAAACAGAGAGAGATTATTGGAGCCGTCCTGAATTTCAATAGGGTACGTGCCATGAGGGCTTTTGACCTAAAGGATGACCACGTTCTGGTTATGTAAGAAGCCAAGAAAAGACACCACCAGACTGCAATGCCGGTTTCCTCTACTGCAAACAGTGTTCTGTGACAAAAAAAAAAAAAAAAAAAAATATATATATATATATATATATATATATATATATATATATATATATATCCAAGCTAACAAGACCCTGGTGTCCTCGTGTCTTATTTACTGAGCGTTGTGTTTTCTGGAGTTCCAGCTGAAGGCCTGGGGGAACAGTCCAGACCTGGTCAGCAACTTGTCCACACAATTCTTGGGAGGGAAAACAGCTAGGTGAGTCAGTGTGCAACCAGCAGCTGCAGTTTCACCTGGGGGCTTGTGGGAAACTCACCTCGAGGTGCACATGGAAAGGCAATTTGTGGGAGAATGGGTGTGTGTTTCAGCCCTGTGGGTGACTCGGGTGCAGATGTGTAGTACTAGAAGGCAGCCTGAATGGCGAGCTGAGCTGAACCCTCAGCCTGCCCAGAGAGGATGTGTCCTTCCTAATGCTACAACTCTTTAATATAGTTCCTCAATTTGTGGTGACCCCCAACCATAAGATTATTTCATTGCTACTTCATAACTAGTTCTGCTACTGTTAAAGAATCATGTAAATATGTGTTTTCCAGTGGTCTTAGGTGACCCCAATGAAAGGGTTTTTCCACCCCAGAGGTAGTGACACCTTTAATCTCAGCACTCAGGAGGCAGAGGCAGATGGATCTCTGTGAGTTTGAGGCCAGCCTGCTCTACACAGTGAGTTCCAGGACAGGTTCCAAAGTTACAGAGAAACCCTGTCTCAAAACAACAACAAAAAGTTTTCACTTGCAAAGATTGAGCCACGAGTATTCCCAGGCCACTAATAGTGGCAAACACCTGTAATCTCAGTTTGCAAGAGGCCGAGGGAGGAGCATCAGGGTCAGGGCCAAGATGGGCCTCACAGTGAGACCCTGTCTAAAAATACAAAAAAGAATCAGTGAGATGACATTGAAGGTTAAGGTGTTTGCCAAATAACTATGCAACCCATAGAAAGATGGAAGGTGAGAGCCACCCTCACAAAGTTGTCCTCCGCAGCACATACTCAACACATTCACAATAATTAAAAAATTATGAACAAAAGATTGAATAAAAGTTTAAAAAAAAAAAAAAAGACTGCTGAAAAGGGCTACCTGTTGAGCCAAAACTCACTTTCTTAGTTGTAGGTCTTCATTCATACTGTATCCTAGAGATCCTTGTTGAGAGATGTGGCTCTATGACTGGGTTCTAGCCACAGAATGTGAACCTTAAAAACTACTCCTCCTCCCCCCCCCCCCCCCGCCCCGGCCAGGCATTGGTGGCACAAGCCTTTGGTCCCAGCACTCGAGAGGCAGAGGCAGGCAGATCTCTGTGAGTTCAAGACCAGACAGGCCTAAAGAGCTTATTCCAGGACAGGCTCCAAAGCAATAGAGAGAAACCCTGTCCTGAAAAACCAAGATAAACAAAAATACCTCCCCTTCCTAGGTGAATCCATGTATGTCTCAGGGTCCTCCTTGATTCCTAGCTTCTCTGGAGTTGTGGATTGTATGCTTACCCACTTAGGAGTACACATTCTATTTGTCTTTCTGGGTCTGGATTATGTCACTCAGGATGCTTTTTCTAGTTCTGTCAATTTGCCTGCAAATTTCAAGATTTTTTTTTTACTGGTGAGTAGTACTACATTGCGCAAATGTAACACATTTTCTTTATCCATTCTTCAGTTGAGGAGGCATGTAGGTTGTTTCCAGGTTCTGGCTATTATGAATAATGCCGCTATGGACATAGTGAGCAAATGTTCTTATGGTGTGACAGTGCCTCCTTTTGGGGTTATGCCCAAAAGTGGTATTGCTGGATCTTGTGGTAGATTGATGGCCAATTTTCTGAGAAACTGATTCCCAAAGCATATGTACAGGTTTGCACTCCCAACAGCAATGGAGGAGTGTTCCCCTTACTTCATATCCTCTCCAGCATAAGCTATCATCAATGTTTTTGATCTTGGCCATTCTGACAGGTTAAGATGGTATCACATAGTCATTTTGGTTTGCATTTCTCTGATGGCTAAGGATGTTGAGCAATTCCTTAAGTGTCTTTTAGCCATCTGCGATTCCTCTGTTGAGAATTCTTTTTTAGATCTGTTCCCCATTTTTAAATTGGATTATTTGGTCTTTTGATGTCTAGTTTCTTGTTCTTTGTGTATTTTGGAGATTAGTCCTTTGTCAGATGTGGGGTTGGTGAAGATATTTTCCCATTCTGTAGGCTGCCATTTTGTCTTGTTGACCATCTCCTTTGCTTTACAGAAACTTCTGAGTTTCAAGAGGTCCAATTTATGTGTCTATGCTGTTGGTGATATATTTAGGAACTGGTCTCCTATGCCAATGTGTTCAAGGGTATTTATACCATTTTCTATGAGCTTCAGATTGGTTTTATGTTGAGGCTTTTGGACTTCAGTTTTGGGCATGGCAGTAGATATGAATTTGCATTCTTCGATATGTCGTCATCCAGTTATGCTAGCACCATTTGTAGATGTTTTCTTTCTTTCCATTTTATAGTTTTAGCTGATTTGTCAAAAATCAGGTGTTCATAGGTGTGTGGATTGATATCAAGGGTCTTGAATTCCATTGGTCTGCTTATGTTTTTTGCCAATACCAAGCTGTTTTCATCACTGTAGCTCTATAGTAGATATTGTTTTTGTTAAGATTGCCATTTTTACTATATTAATATTATCTATCCAAGAGCATGGGAGCTCTTTCCATTTTCTAAGTCCTCAACTTCTTTATTCAGTGACAAAGTTCTTGTCATGCAGGCCTTCACTTGGTTAGAGATTCCCCAAGGTATTTTGTGTTGTGGTTACTGTGAAGGGGGTGTTTCCCTGATCCTTTTTCAGCCATATATGGTAGGGCTACTAGTTTGTTTTGTTACTGAATGTGTTTATCCAATGTAGGAGTTCCCTGGTAGTATTTTGGAGGTCACTTATGTAAACTATTATATCATCTGCAAATAGTGAAAGTTTGACTTCTTCCCTTCCAATTTGTATCCAATTTATATAGTTTATCAACCTATATGGTTTGAACTATCCCTGCTTTTCAGGGATAATCCCAATTTGGTGGATAATCTTTTTAAAAATGTTTGTATTCTGTTTGGAAGTATTATTTTTGAACCTATGTTTACCAGTGATATTGGCATGTAGTTTCCTTTTTGTGTTACCTGATTTGGGTATCAGAGTAATACTGGCTCCATAGGAGTTTGGAGCACTCTTTTTTGGATGTTTTAAGGATTTCTGAATGTCTAGAATTCTTTGAATCTATCTGATCTTCGACTTTGTTTTTTGAGGCAGGGTTCCTCTGTGTAACAGCTATGGCTGTCCTAGAACTCAAGGCTGGCCTTGAATTCAAGAGATCCACCTGTCTCTGCCTCTCAAGTGCTGGGACTAGAGGCATATGCCACCACTGCCCATCAACTTTAAATTTTATTGCATTGTGGTCAGATTTGATACATGGTGTTATCCCAATTGTTTTGAATTTGTAATGATTTATGTTCTGGGTTGTGGCCTATTTCTAGAAAAGCTTCCATGTGCTGTTGAATAGAACATGTCTTCTTTGATGTTTGGATAGATTATTCTGTAGATAGTTAAATCCACTTGATGTATGATACCAATTAATTTAGATGTTTATTTTTTGTCCAGGTGGCCTATTAGAGAACATGAGCCACTGAAGTCGCCTACTATGAATGGGTTGCTGTATGGTGTGGGTGGTGTAGGCAATGCAAAGTGTCTTGGGGATGGACGAACATAGGGCAGGTCTAGAGGATGACTTCAGAAGGTGGTGGGACTGACTGGCTGTGGGACCCTGGAAGATATGGAAAGTCTGGGTATGGAGTGGGGTGGTAGCTGTAGCCAGGATTTTTATTCTTTACTTTCTATCCATACTTAATTTTCTACTATAAGTACATGTTATTATTAGAGATTATAAAATGCATCAAGTAGTTAGGAATCGCACTTTATGACTGCCATGTTTGACATATGACATGTACTGTGCCTAAGATTGTGTGTGTATTTGTAGCAGGGTGCTAGAGCTTTATATATTTGAAACACATGTCCCCAAGAATTGTATGTTGTTTTGGCAGTCTCCTGTTTCCTGTAAAGTTCCATAGGAGTCAATAGCTACATTTGAAAGATGCTAGGCATTATTAAGCTAGGAATAGTTGTATATGCCTGTGATCCCAGCACTCAGGAGGCTGAGGCAAAAGGATTGCAGTAGGCTTGAGAACAGTCCAGAACCTAGAAGAGGGTATTGGATTCCCTGGAACTAGAATTAAAGGCCATTGTAATGTGGATGCTGGAATTAAACTTTATGGTCCTCTACAAAAACATCAAGTACTCTTAACTGCTGGGCCATTCCTCCAGCCCAAAAAAGCAAATGTTGATTTCACAAAATAATTGTGTACATGTTGTCTATTGATCATAGCATAAAATATTAGTGAGTTTCAATACAAAATCTAAAAGCCACTTAAGAGATTTAGTGGTAAATAGGTAAAATTAATATCTATTCCAACACACCAAAATCATCCTTGTGTATATTAATAAAAATCAGTAAGCCGGCTCTATCTTCACCTTACAATTAAGTCCTAAAAACTTAAGATATGGCAGTCTTCTCGAAATTAGTTCACAAAGTCATTTAAACAATATGGAATTAAATACTACTGTATTTTATGTACTTGGGGTTTGTTTACTGTACCTTCAAGAAGACGCCTCATACCCACATGAGGCCCCAGCACAATGTATAACCTCTCTCAGTGTAGGTGAATACTTACTGTCCCCTTGACAGTCCCCAAGTGTGTTCAGGACTTGGGAAAGAAGGGGGGGGGGGGATGTTCTGCAGAGATGGTTAGACAGCTTTCCCCAACCTCAACCCGAGGTAAAGCACAAAGCATTAGACTGTAGAAAGAGAAGTCACCAACACTATATTTCTTAAAGTTTACACTTTTTCAGGGAGACTATGAGCTAAACAGAACAATGAATGCAACATTTTTTTCAGGCCCCAAAATTGAAATTTCACACAGACACAATCACTGGCTTTAATTTTGCTGACTGGTTACACCAATAGCTGCTTTTAGCACCTATTTTTATTTTTTTCATGTTTGACTGTAACAGTTCTGTTGCCCAAACACTTCCTAATACCAAGGGAAACATGGCAGTGCCTAAAGAACTATGCCCTGTGGTGCCTTAGCTTGGATATAGGAGTGTAGGGAGAGTAGTACAACTGTAGCTTACCATTTGTACTCACCTATTTTACTATGTTCTGTATAGATTTCTCTGCATCTGTGGTGTATGCACATGGGTGGATGTGTGTTAAGAAGGGTCAGTTGGCCTCCATTACTCCTGTTCTCTCAGAATTGGCATCATAGATGTGAGCAGCTTCTGACTTCTGGTCTTAACCGATGACCCACCTCTCTAGTTTGCTGTTCTGTACTAAGAGAGTGGCTCAAGAGCTCACCATGGCAATCTCAAGAGGATGGCCCTGGAGCACCCCATCAAGCACAGTGTCACTCACTGTGCTTGATGGGTGGAGAACGAATCACCATCCAAGAGGGACTTGGCAACACAAACGAACCTTATCCAAGGCCCTTAATTCCTTTAAGATGTACTTACTACTATTACAGCTCACCCCTGAATCACTGAACCACATGCTCTCAGGTCTGGCCAGGCCACTTGGTCTTGGTGGGTAGGCTCAACCATTTCAATCACATCACAGGACCAGCTCCCATACCAAAGCCACTTTCAAGTCTCAGAGAAAACAGGTTTCTGAAGCTACCACCTCTGACCACCACCAGGATTCCAAAGGGCAGGTATGGACTTTTCTAACAAGTGCACAGCTTTTCTAAGTTTACCCTTCTTTTTGTACCAGAACAAGTTTGGAAGGCTGAAGCTGAGGAGAGAGGAGAAATTATCAGCATATTCTAGGTTCTGCCAGACGGTCTTTTATTACATCATAAAAGCAACACTAGGCACTAGATCTTGCAAAATTTGCTCTGACCAACTTTCTGAAATTAAAAATGCATAACCACATCTGTAAGATTTTTAATGAACAAAAAAGTTAAATACAAACTTTCATATGCAAAATAGATGACTGTAAAACAGGCAACCTCAGCCAAGTACTAAATCTTTCTCAGAGGCTCAGTGGAACTGGGATAGGGCATGCTAATGAGCCAAGAACTTAATTTCAGTTATATATATATATATATATATATATATTAAAAAAAAAAAACTCTGAGGAAAAATAGGCTTAAATTGAGGAGCATCTTCTGAAATAGACAGTTCAGGCCAGCCCTTTTACCATTGTGAGGTTCATACTCAACCACACCTAGGATGAAACATTTATGGTCACAGTTACTTTGAATCCAGTTTCGAGAGGAAGCCAAGCTACTTCAGTTCTAGAAAAGAAAGTCTCTAAGATAAGCATGTGCTGTTCTGAGGATGCACAGACCTCGTTCCTTGGACATATTTCCATGAACTGTGCCTGTGTCATAGCATCAGACTCTCTAAAAGGCAGCCGGATCCCTACAACACAGCATCGTCATTTCTTCTGGCGTTTTCAAGTCTCAAAAGAGAGAACCTTAACTTCATGTTGGCAGTTCCTACTCCAGCATTAGAGAAGCTGGTGACACCCCCTCCTCTCCCTGCTGATGTGTCCCTCTGCAGCAGGAAGTGGCAGTTTGATTAACATTCTTCTCAGAAATAAATATTTCAAACAAATTATTTATAGTTAATTATAAAAGAGCAGTGAGAAAAGGGCACTGCCCAATGTTTGCAAATGAGTGAATGAATACATGTGAACAAATATACAGAAAAAACAATTCATAGAACAAATCCTGCATTTCCCACATTCATATGGAAATAACTCTTTAAAACAAAAAACATTAATTAGCATTTGTTCTTGTATGGGATGAACAGTCCAGGGCTCTGAGCAGGCACAGCCTTACAAACAGGGTTGCAAACAGCCCCTCCACACCTCAAGTCAGGGCTACTGTGGAGAGGCCTTCATGCACTCGTGATAGCTAGTACCTGTGAGAGAACAGAAATGACATGGGGACTTTTTAACCCATAATGCATGAGGTATATGGAAACATCCATTAAAGAACCACCAGCAGCAGAAGGCCCAGGTCAGGGCATTGTCACAGCAACTGCTGATGAAGGATTTCCCACACCATCTTCTTACGGAAGAGAGGCATCTGGTGCTGAAAAATATCCCACAAACAACAGTATTATACACTTCTGTGCACACTATTACAGCAGACAGCCGTTCTGTGTCATAACATAAATAACTCAGGATGCACATGTCCACCTGCTTGACCATGTTACATCACATATGGACTTCTGAAGCACAATGGGATCTATTTTTAATTAAGACGACCACCTCATCCTGATCATCCCACCTACACCTCCAGTGCTAAGATGTGTTGCCATATTTGACAAAAGTGTGTGTTTGCTTGAGAAGGTCTTGCTAAATAAACAGCCTAAGTTGACTATGGTCACAAGCTTCCCCTGCCTCAGCCTCCCCAGTTCTAGAACTACAAGTGCCCCACACCCAGTCTACATTCATATATTAGTGTATGATTACATGTGAATACATATGCACTTACAAGTTAAAAAAAACCAAAGCTGAATACAGAATTATATACTACAGGGACAATGATAAAAACAGTTTTAAAAAAAGAAAAAGTACCAAAAAGAGAATATCCGAGCAGCTGCATAGTAAACTTTTCTGCATTCTAAGTGAACGTTTTTTTTTTTTTAAAAATCACTTTTATGTTTTATGTTTAGAAAGTGATCTTAAAGCATGAAGGTAATGGTTTGCTGGTAGAGGTATTGCCTAGTAATTATGAGGCCCTGGTTTCAAAAAAACTAGGCAGTGGCAACACATATATTTAGTTCCAGCACTCAGGAGGCAGAGATAGGTGGATCTCTATAGAGATCCTGATCTCTCTACAGAGTTCCAAGACAGCCAGGGCCACACAGAGAACCCCTCTTGAAAAATCTAAATAAATAAATAATATTTAAGTTCCCACCTTTGACCTATTTGTGGTGCATTGTTATACACAGGTGGAGCTCTATTACACACTACTTAGTTTCCAGAGGATGTGTGTGTCAATAATCTTAATACATGATCACACAATTTTACTTGGGAGGAGCCGGGAGAACAAGGTCTCTTACTGTGTTGTAGTCCTGGTTGGCCTGGCACTCACTATACAAACCAGTCTGACCCAAAACTCACAGAGACCCTCAGAGGTCTTTCTCTGTCTTCCTAGTGCTGAGATTAGAGGCATGTGCCACCATGCACAGCCTTACACATGGTTCTTATGTTATTTTAAATAGTTCAAGACATCCAAGGGCTCAGTAGACTATTTACCTAATATGCACAGTGGCATGCACTTATAATCATAGCAATTAGGAAGCAGAGATAGGAGTAGTACCAAAATCATCCTAGGCTACATAATGATTTCCAGGCCAGCTCCTGTAGAACAGGAGACCTTGTGTCTCTCAAAAACACAATTCTTATAAACCTCAGTAAAGTGTTACTTTTACTCTAATAATCAATAGTGAATGTATTCTCTTAAGATCAGAAAGCTAGGAACTTCATGTTCTTCCAAAGCATTTAGTTGTACTACTCAATCAACAGTTTGCTTAGCATACAGGAGCTATCAAACAAGGGTCCATGGAAGAGAAGTCTTTCTAATTGGGGTTAACTCAAGCAGACATTTAAGCTTCCCAATGCACTTGGATTTCCTCTGTATATGACAATTTTCAGAAAGGAGAGCATCGCTCACTTGTGCTTCTATCTTAGACCTGCCTTCCCCTGGCTGTCATCTATTCTCACATGCTCCCTTTAGCTAAAACAGTTAATACATGAACCAATCAAAAAATGGACTTCAAGGATAAGCAAATTATCCCAGTGGTCATCAAGAATTCTTGACCAAGTCCAAGAATACACCCTATGATGAGCATGTGCACCACTGACTCTGAGTGGGGCCTTACCTAAAGTTCTTAGCAATAGTCTGTCTGTCTGAGCCTGAAGTGTGCCACATACTGCCAAAGTGCAATAACAAGTTAAGTGCAGGACAACAAGCTTGGACTCACCTGAGTAAATGTGATAGGTTTGTCCCTAGAAATATAATCTGCATATTTACAAGTAAACATTCCACAATCACTCCCATTCAACTGTTGAGGAATCTCCTAAAACACAAAGAAAGGGGGAAGAGGTAAAATATTACATATACATTCCTTAGTCTCTTTCTAAACATCATTGTAGATAAATGTGGTGTTGCACAAACACAGATGCACAAACACAATCACCCTTATTCTTTATGGTATAAAAACCCTAATCATAACACAGTATGAGGCCCTACAGAAACATGTCACAGAAGAAAGCAGTAAAGCACATGAGAGTCCTAGGCTAAACAGAGCCCATCTAACATGAGGGATAGGAAAAGGAACAGCATCTGATTCGTTGCAAGACTACTAGTGAGGATTATTTAAGATTACTATAAACTTTAAATATGCTGGAGATACAAGAATCTACTTCAGCACTGCAGAGGTTACATGGTCTTAGTGTTACATAGACAACTGCTTAGGATCCCTAGAGTTTCAAGTGAGATGAGAAAATGATCTCAGGTTTTAACTAACCAGGATCACTCTTTAAGCAGTCATGTTCCTGAGGCAGAAACACAACTAGGAACAAGCGGCTCTAAGAACATCAAAAGGTAAGCCCACATAGAAAAGCTGTGTGTCCAGGCCTGTATCATCCCAATCTTGGCTTGACATGACTGCGGCCATCTTGAACAGTGACCCTAACTAAACCTGAGTTGAACCTGGTCAGTTTTACCAGCATACTCTTTCCTAGAATACTCTGGCAGGTAAAGCCACTGGAGTGATATGTATGGGAGCTGTAGGACCAGACTTTGACACCGTGAATACACAGAACGTGCCTTTAGTCTCGGATATTAGCTTGAGAAAAACTAGATAAATTCTGGCTAGATGAGGTCTTTTCTACTGTGACCTACCCTTCTGAGCCAATCAGAGGTAGCCATTAGGCCTACTGCCATTTTGTGCCATGCTTCTGTCCACAAAGACCATAAGCAATAGTTTGCACAGTCATGGGTCTGCCTGCCTTTGTTCTCACAGTACTCCAGGGCCTATCTTGGTTATACTGATAGCTTTAGGTTCAGAAATAGGCAACTTAAATATAAGCCTCAAAGATTAAGGTTGTATCCACAAGACTGTAAATTCAATCTTTAGTAAGAAACACAGACAAGCATCACTTACATGTGGCTTCATGCTGTAGTGGGTCCACTCTAAGAGATTGAGATCTGTATTTCTTTTGGTCTTACTTTCATCCTGCAAATACTGACTAAAGAAAACAAAAACAAATAATGAATGTATCAATAAAGGCCTAGGAGACTACCCACTGTGATGAAAAAGGGCGGTGATATTCAGGAGGGTTGTCACATTCTCAAATCTGGATCTATTTTTAGAAATGTAATTATATCTTTTATTTTTAGGTTTTCCTTCTAGTGAAAATTTTACATGAAACAGACACTCAATTACCAAATGTGTTTTTTTTAGTTCTTTAGACCAGCTCTACTACACACAATCAAGAATTCACCCTATATTCTATGGAAAAGTACTGCTTGTGGTAGTCTTTAATGCTAGCACTCAGGAGGCTGAGGCAGGAGGAGTCCATGCTTGACTCTGGGTATGTAACAAGACTGTCTCGAAACAAGAGCTCTTTCTTACCCTGAAAGAGACAGCTCTGTAAAGGAACTCACTAAGCCAGGGAGGGCTGGATGGAGAAGCAGATGGGAAAGCTAAGTGGCAGAGCCCAGCTGGAGGCCTCTCCACAAGCATGCTGGTCTGCCTAATGAGCTGCCCAGGAGGGAGCAGCAGAAACTGCAGGGAAGGCCTGCACCAACCTGAAGCACCAGAAAAGGTCACAGTGGGGTACATCAGGCCAAGGGAACTACCAGCAAAGGGCCGGGAACTCTAGTTCCTGACAGGCCAGAGCCCCAAGTACAGTACACTCTTCCACACAGCACCACATGTAACTTTAACTAGAGCCAGCAAAATCTGAGAACTTCACCTTTCAATTCAGTATAGTGGTGAGCAATTCGCTCCAATAGCATTTATTTTACCTCTTTGTTTTCTATGATTTAATTTCAACTCTGGCATGTATGTCTGTATGAGGGTGTCAGAGCTTAGAGTTATAGACAGTTGTGAGCTGCCGTGTGGGTGCTGGGAATTGAGAGTCAATGCTCATAACTACGGAGCCATCTCTCCAGCCCCACCCCCCAAAGGCATTCTGTACTGTTCTTTTCAACTGTGTTTCGTTTACTCCCCCTCTTTTCTTAACCATATTCCCTCCTCTTTTACCTACTACAACACTCCAACACTCCCTTCCATTTTTACTTTACCCACCCTGATTTTCCCCAAGCCCATCTAGTACCCCTTCCTCACCTTACTCCTCTGCCATTAGTCTGATTGACTAAGATCTGAATACACTCCACATTATCCCCAGTTGTTTATCCTGTAAGTTATTAAATCTACAGGTCTATATTGAAGGTGAGCATGACACCTGCACAGTGGCAATACCAAGCAGCTGTGGGTGCTCTCCTAGTTAATATCCCCTGGGGATAACACAGAACTTACTCAGATCAGGCACCTGGTGCTCCCAGGCTGAGGAGCCATTTTCTGAACCACACATTCAACTCTACCACATCCAAGTCCTACCTATATAAACACTGCCAATACTTAACTGAAAGAATACAGCTGATTAAAGAGAAACCAGCTGGGTGTGATGGCGCAGGCCTTTAATCCCAGAATTTGGGAGGTAGAAGCAGGCTGATTTGTGAGTCTGATGCCATCCTAGTTCTAGGGCAGCTGGGACTATGTAGAGAGACTCTTGTTTCAAAAAAACCCAAAAACCAAAAAAACAAAGAACACACCAACAAAAACAAACAAAACAAAATTAAATTAAAAAAAAAATCAAGTAAGCAAGCAAAGGCATAACATCAGATGTGTAAATCCCAAAGCAGTACAAGGAACAGGAAAACACCAAGACAGCCTAGCTCCTCTAGAAATGACTAACCATACAGTAATGGCATGTAGTGAGAGAGAGTGAGTTAGGTGAAACCCTAGAGAACTCAAGATCATGGTTACAAATATGGTCAAGGACACAAACAAAATAAAGGCGATAGATGTTATGAAAGAGTCATAACAAAGACACTGGAGAAAGGCGACCTGAAACGCTGGACATAAGACATGGCAAGTCAAAATGTAAAACTGAAAGTGTCAGGAGAGGAAGTAGAAACAATCCAACAAGGAGAGAGATAAAATGAAAGGTGCTGGTGGGAAGTCCAAGATACACAGCACTCTGAAAAGATCCAATTCACGGTTATTACACAGAAGGACAGATCTCATTCGAAAGGCATAGAAAGCATTTCCAAAAGAATCACAACAAAGTTTCCTAGAGTTAAGAAAACAAATGCCAGCCTAGATACAGGAGGGATTTAGGATCCATAGACCAGGAAAGGCCCTCCCTGGTCATGTCACAGTTAGAATGCTAGACACAACATGAAGTAGACTGACAGTGGGAAGCAAGAGGAACACCAGTCAAAGGGCAGCCTTAATACCACTGACTAATCAACAAACGTTAAAATCCAGAAGGGCTTAGTGATGATGGATTTCAAGTTTTAAAAGTTACCTGCCAATGTGGAGTAATATATATAGGCACAGTTACCTACCATAATTCAAAGAAAAAAATTTTTAAAAACCTGATAATTTATGACCATGCCAAGCCAACTCTGCAGAAGACAGTTAAAGTGATCCCGACTAAAGAGGAAAAAAAAAAAAAAAAAAAAAAAAGAAATCTACCCATAAGGCCGCAGAACAGATGAATCATGCTAGAATTAAATACTAAGAAAGGAAAACCCCAAAAACTACAAACCTAATAAAATGACAGGAATTTGATAACCAAGTTTAGTCTTAACAAATATAGGAAAACTGAGGTAATTGCTTATATTTCATCACAATGGACTATATATACAAATGAACATCAAGAGAGACCCTAATGCATACACTCACTGATGTATGCTACTGAACGGTGAATGGGTCCTAAAGAAAATAAAAACATCCTCAGAACCGAATGACAAAGAAGATAATGTTCCCAAACCTCTGGGACACAATGAAAGCAGCCCTTTAGGGAAGTTTATAGCTCTGAATGCTGATGAAGAAATCAAAGACCTTTCAGGTAACTAACTGAATTCACCTTAAAGGTTTCTTTGGGGGGAAAAAAAGGAGTAAGTCAAACCTCAAGTAAGTAGACAGAAAGAAATCATTATGATCAGTCCAGAAATTAATGATAGAAATGAAAAGAAATACAATGATCATTGAAACAACCATCTGTAATGAGATTTGGTGCCCTCTTCTGCCTGTAGGCAGAACACTGTATACGCAATTTAAAAAAAAAAAAAAAAAAAGAGTTGGTTCTTTGAAAAAGATAAACAAAATTGACAGTCCCTTAACCAAACTAACCAAAACAGAGAAGACACTGCCAGACAGTAGTGGTGCATGTTGGTAATCCCAACACTTGGGAGGCAGAGGCAGGCAGATCTCTGTGAGTTTTAGGCCAGCCTGGTCTACAGAGTGAGTTCTAAGACAGCCAGAGAGAAACCCTGTCTAAGAGACACCAACTCAGATAATTAGAGGTGAAAAGGAGCCATCACACCAGATGCCATTGAAATTAAAAACATCAGATCTGGAGGCTACAGATGGACAGCTCAGTGGGTAAAAGCATTGGCTGCTTTTCCCTAGGACCTGGGTTCAATTCTGAACACCCACATGGCAGCTCCCAACTGTGTCTCAGTCTAATCCCAGGGACCTGAAGCCCTCTTCTGGCCTCCTTGGGTACTGCACAAACATGGTGCACATACATACATTCAGGCAAAACAACCATTCACATCAAACTAAAACAAGAAAATAAAACTTATACAAAACTCCAGGTCTTCTGTTGAAAATCTATATTCCACTAAGCTAGAAAAGCAAAAAGAAAAACGATTTTCTAGATGATATGGCTTATCAAAACTGAACCAAGATGAGATGAATAGTTTAAAAAGATCTGTACCATGCAGTAGGACATAAGTGGCAAGCAATTAAAGCTCTCCAACAAAAAGCAGTCCAGGCCCAGATAGGTCATGGTGACATTTATAAAACCTTCCAATGCTCCTCAAGCCACGCCATACAAAAGAGCACGTCCAAACCAAAGACAGATAAAGACATGGGGGTGGGGTAAGGGGACGAACAAGTTCATTTCTCTGATTAATTTAAACTAAACACTTGCAAACTGAATCCAAGAACAAATCAAAAAATCATTCATCATGATGAACTTGGTGGTGCAACTTGACCACAGATACAGAAATGCAACATGTGTCAACCAGTAAATGTTCTAAGTTACACCAATGGAACCAAGGACAGAAACCCCAAGTACATCCTGATGTAAAAAGCTCTGACAAAACCCAACACTCCTTCATGTTAAAGATTCTGAAAAACTTGGATTAGGGGGAAAAAGATCATAATACAATAAAGTCTACATAAGATAGCCTACACCCAACATGATAGAAAATGAGGAGACACACAAAGCATTCCCACCAAAATAAGGAACAAGACAGAGTGTCAAACTTTTCCACTCCTACTCAGTACTGGAAGCCTTACTGGAGCAAGACAAGGGAAACACATAAAAGGATACAAACAGCAACGGAGGATGCCAAAGGAGGCCCATCCTGCAGATGCTATGATTTTATACATAGGAGTCCCTAAAGACACCACCAGAAAATTTAGAACTGATACACATTCAGTGACAGGATACAAAAGTGACACACAAGTCCTTCCTATACATCAATGACAAAGAAATTGAAATTTTGGAAGCAATCTAATTTGTAACAGTCTCAAAAAAAAGAAAAAAGTACCTTGGAATAAACCTAACCAAGGATATGAAAGATCTCTAAAATGAAAACTTCAAAACACTCAAGAAAAAAATAAATAAAATCAAGACACTAGAAGATGTAAAGCATGGAAGCATGTTCATGGATCCGAAGAATCACTATTATGAAAATAATATCTTATAAAACCCAATATAGACAGGGCAGCGGTGGCACACATCTTTAATCCCAGCATTCAGGAGGCAGAGGCAGGTGGATCTCTGTGACTTCAAGGCCAGCCTGGTCTACAGAGTGAGTTTCAGGACAGCCAGGACTGTCACACAGAAAAACCCTGTCTTGAAAAAACCAAACTCCACCCACCTCACACCACACCAAAAAAAGCAATACTAAAGAAAAACCAAACCTTATTTGAAGTTATATTACAGATCTATACTAATAAAAACAGCATGGTACTGATGGAAAAACAGATTCAGTGACTGAATGGGATACAATAGGGAACCCATGCAACTTCAGACACTTGAGTTTTGACAGAGATGCCCAAAATACACACAATAGACAGCATCTTCAACAAATGGTATTGAGAAAACTGGCTATGTACCCACAAAAAAATGCAACTAAACCCTTCCATCTCTCACCCGCACAAAAATCAATTCCAAGTGGATTTAAGGCTACAACCTAAGACTGGAAACTCTGAAACTGTTAGCAAAGAAAGGAGTATACTGTAAGCTACAGGAATAGGTAAAGACTTACTAAACAGGAGTTGAACTGCTCAGGAAATAAGGTCAAACATCCACAAGAGTGGTCTCATGGAATTAAAAAGCTTTTGTAGAGGAAAGGAAGCTGTCGACTGAGTGAAGAAAGAGCCTACAGAATGAGAGAATAATATTCAGAGGATCTGTTTCTAGAAGATACAAGGAAATCAAGGATCTACACTCTGAGAAAAGCCAATTATTAGAATGAACTGAACAGATTGTTCTCAAAAGAAGACAAATGGTTAGTACGCACCTAAGAAGTGTTCAACATTATTAAAACTATTCTGAGACCTCACCACACTCAGAATGGCTGTGGTAAGAGACAAATGACAACAAATGTTGGTGTGTATGCAAGGAAAGCAGGCATAATCAACTGTTGGTAGAAATGTAAACTGGTATAGCCACTATGGACATGAGTGTGGAGCTTTCTCAAGCTGCTAAAAATAATACTTCCAGCTATATATACCACTCCTGGGAGGTACCCTTCAGGCTTTATGTAGAAAAGCATACTGTGTGATTTTACTAGGAAATCTCTAAGCAGGAGACAACATGTGTTTACAATTTAACATCTTTCATAATAAATACTGTAAGGATACTATAAACTATACTATATACTATAAACTATTTAGTGTCTATTAAATATTTCTCCTCTATACTTTTATCTAAGCTAACCATAAATAAAAGATCTACACTAAATTGTTAAAAGAAAAACTGAGCTTTTGTTAATAACTTCTTTTTATTAGTTTTTTGACAATTTCATACTATTTTGATCATATTTGTAGGAATTAAGACCTTGGCTAAAAATTTCCCCTGCTGCCCTCAGGGCAGGCAGCTATAACCTCAGGAAAAGAAAAAAACAGGCTTACTGAGGCAAGGTGTGCCTTTGTTCTCCGCAACCTTGAGTTGGGGCCCCCTACAAGCGCCCTAACCAGTCCTTGGAACCTGAGATGACTAACCACCCCCCTCCGCTTCCCCCTCCTCCATCTGGTGCCAGGGTATATAAGCCAGCCCCCAGAGTAAAATAAAATTAATAAGAGTCTTCTTAACATCAAGCAAGAGTCCTGTATTATCAATCTCAATACCCTCCGCAGTAGCTAGCCCTCCCCCAACCCCCTGAGCAGGCACAGCAATATTCACTTGCTTCCAGCAAGTTCTCCCAGATCCATCCTCTCTTTTCCTACTCTCCCAACTTTGTGTCCTTTTTTATTAAAATAAACAAAACCATCATACCCAGTTTGTGCTACCGATAAACTTTTGGATATATATGGCTTTCTTCTGGAACATGGTCAAGCTACTGGGGATGGGGTGGGGTGGTACTGTACCTTTAAGACAATGGACTATCTCAATAACAATTCTTTGTAAAATGAATGTAGTATGTCTGTCCATCCTTACTAAAGTTAAAAGCAGGAGTTGCATATGTAGCTGCCAAAAGTTTCAAAGACATCAACTGTAGGTTGTCACTGATGTGACAAAACACCACGAAAAAGCAGCTTGGGGAGGAAAGAGTTCATCTGGCTTACACTTCCACACTGTACTTCATCACTAAAGGAAGCCAGGACAGGAACTCAAAGAGGGCAGGAACTTGGAGGCTGATGCAGAGACCATGGAAGGATGCTGCTTACCAGCTTACTCAGCCTTCATTCTTATAGAACGCAGGACCACCACATCAGGGAAGACACCACCCACAATTGGCTGAACCCTCCCCTATCAATCACTAATCAATACACGCCCTATAGACTTGCCTACAGCCTGATCTTATGGAGGTACTTTCTTAACCAATGCTGACTGAAACACCTCACCTCAGACTGAAGACTACTGTACATTATCAACTCCGTTGCTTTTACTGTAGTTTCCTGCTCCTATAGAAACAAATTTGTCTAATTATAGAAAACAGACTTTTACTGCTTTTCTATCCAGCATAAAAGTTTCAAATGAATATATCTCTGGGTTGTATTATGTTAGGATGTCTGATTTTAAAAACTGCTGTTTGGGCTGGGTGATGCACACCCTCAATCCCAGCACTCAGGAGGCACAGACAGGTAGATCACTGTGAGTTTCAGGCCAGCCTGGTCTACAGAACGAGTTCCAAGACAGCCAAGGCTACACAGAGAAACCTTGTATTGGAAGAGGGAAAAAAAAAAAAACTGCAATCATCAAAATGGCTCAGGGAGTAAAGGTAGGAGGTGCTGCCAACCCTGACCACTTAAGTTCAATCCCCAGGACCCACTTTTTATTAGAAAATGTTTGATGGTATCCTACTTTACATACTTACGTACCTAGGAACACACAGAAATTTCCCAGATGAAAAGAGAAGTGGGGAATGTTTAGAACCCGCTCTATACCATCCATCTATATGTACTTCCTGTCCTATTAGCAGACTATAAGGATAGCAGAATATTTATGTAAAAGTAACAATTGTTTTACTTAATAATGGCCCGTAAAGACAAAAATAACAATGCAAAGGAGGTTCCTGACACATGGGAAAACATAAACTTTCATACTCTGACACAGGTTGGTTCTGTACTGCCTGTAGCTGTAGCTGCTCACGGGAAACATACTCCTGACCACAACAGGAACTACTGTATGTGGAATACTTGCTTTCACAAACCAAACACTTTATAAATTAAATATCCAAGTTCTATGAAATGAGCCCCACTCTCAGAAAATACAGAGACACAAGCTAACTTTAGGATCACAGGCCAAAACTATCTGGCTAACAGTTTAAATTTCATGGAAGTGTAATTCCAGTTAGGATTCTAGAGGATACACCTGACAATGAAATACCTGCAAAGTTGCCTTCCAGGATCTAGCAAACAGAAACTCTCAGCTGAGATCAGTTCCTAGGTTTGTTTTAGACAAAAAGGTGGATTTAACGGAAGTCCTGAAGAGAAACACTTCCTATCATGACATATTACGTCATAATTATGTGTGAAGATAGGATTAAACAGAAGAGAGATTATCCAATGGAGGAAAACAGCACTGCAGTGAGACTTTTGGACTTTACTTACAGAAGAATCTCACAGATCCTGTGGCCTTTCTGTCCCATAGAATCCAGATATTTAAGACACTTTTTTCTTAGGTCCATCACCTATATGGGAAAAGGCAAAAGTCCTTAGACAGACATCCTTTTTTGTTGTTTGAACCCAGCCTGGGTAAACACCAGCTCCTCCTCTCTCAGCTTCCTCCCTAAGTACTAGGATCACAGCATGTGCTTCCATACCAATGCCAGCAACATTGTAAACAGCAATAGTAGCATTTTAAAGATTTTTATCATGTAGCAATATTGAACAGATTTAGGAACTTTTAGTTAAAGTTATAAAATATCCCAGACTGTTTGAGATTCCTATACAAAGGCCTAGAAGCTACCCATCAGGCATCAGTGATCCTCCTGGCATGGGATTCTGCACCTGCACCTTTCCTCCTCAAAGCACGTCTGTAGCTATCAAGCTGAACCCAATGCTTAGAACTCTGCAGAGCTTGCCTCTCACACTGTTGGCCTTTCAGTCACTGGAAGAGTGACAGCCACCTATGTTGTTGAGCAGACATCTACACTAGGGGTATAATTAGAAGTAGAGTCCTTTCTTATGGGTTCAGGGATTGATCTCCCAAGACAAGAAAGGAAAGAAGTGGGGACACAGGAGGGGGGGGGGAGAAAAGGAGAAAGGAAGGAGAAGAGAAGGTCAGGGAAAGAATGGAGGTGAGGAAGGGAGAAGAAAGAAGGGGAAGGAGAGAGGAACAGAATGAGGAGTCTTTACCCAAGCTCCAGCAATTAACCCTCTCACTCACCACCAGGCTCCAATGCACCTTCCGATGAATAGGTACCAGAACAAGTTCTTGTTCAAAGAGATTTACCCCTTTGGTCCATCTTTTCACTGCCTGGTAACCCCCAGACTTTAATTTAGGGTAGAAGAATGTACTGAATGCATGAAGTGCTGGATAGCCTTGCTTCTTACTCCTTTCCACTAAAAGATTCATGTAAAAATTAATGACCTGAAAAATACCAAAAGATTAACATTTGGAACATGGCAAATACATTAAAATATGAAATTCCTACCTAAATCAGAAAGTGAGATGCTTAAAGAAAGGACAGTCCATGAAAAGGTCAGAAAACAACTGCAGTACAAATGAACACACAAAGCAAGATGAAGGCTACAGACTGAGCTCAACAGAAGTGCTTGCCTAGGACATGTAAGATTCAATACTGGATTCACTTCCCAGTACTGGGCCATCCCCATACAAGAGAACCAGCAAGTCATGTGATTATAATTTTGAAGCATATGAATCACATTTCAATGTAATAATGAAAAGGTATGTGCAACCGTTACACAGAAAAATGAACTATTCACTATAGCACTTGCATCCAAAATATACCTTAATTCAGATATATTTCCTGGAAGGAGAAATGCCAAAATATTTATGAAACTTTTGACCAATATAATTTCTTCAAATATAAAGTAGTTTTCAAAAATGTTAAGCATATTTACATTTAAATTACATTTACAAATGACAGTATTTTCATGTAACTAGGCTTGTGACATAGGAAAATGGAGTAAATGAGAAAATTCAAGAACAGAGCAGTTGGGTTAACTGAAAAAGTAGTAAGAACTAAGCCAGTTTTTGCAGAGTAAGTACTGATATAGACAGCAAATGCACATTGAGTGTAGGTTCCCATGGAGGCCAGAGAGATAAGATCCTCTGTAGCTGGAGTCAGGCTGTTAAGTCAAAGGATGTGGGTGCTGGGAACTAAACGAGGGCCTTTGGAAGAGCAGCAGGCACTCTACCTGCTGCATCATCACTGCTGTCCTCTCTCTAAACACTTATACAGGACCCTAATGCTCAAGCACCCTACCCACAGATGAGACCACTCTTATAAAGACACTGAAAGGAGAGAGACGCACTGCCCCCCCTTCCCATGTGAGGGTCCAGCCCCACTCCCCATCATTGTACCAACAGCAGACAGTGATGCTGTAGGCATTGAGGCTAGGCTTTGTAGTCATCAAAACTGTGGGCAATACCTTTTTAGGGGGCTGAGGGAGAGGACGAAGTCTCACTATATAGCTCTGGGTGGCCTAGAACTTGCTATATAGACCAGGCTGGCTTCGAACTCAAGAAATCTCCTTGCCTCTGCCTCCTGAGTTCTCCAGGTAGTAAAAAGTGTGTGCCACCACACCCACCCCAATACATTTTTAATGAGATGTTTTGCCTTACATATTACTAATCAGGTGATGCACAACTCAGTGGGAGAGTGACTGCATAAGGTCCTAGGTTCAATTTCCAGAAAGAAGAAACAACAAACAAAACAAAGAACACCTAGTGCTAGTGGGTTCAAGACCTGTCTTGATTTATGGAAGGAACATAAGGCCAGTTTGGACAACTTAGTGGAAACTTACCTCAAAATAAATAGTAAAGGAAAGACAAAGAGGGCAGAGGATATAGCTATAGCTCAGTGTAGACCACTTGCTTGTCTAATGTGGGAAACCCTTAGTTCAATCCCCGGCACTGAAGAAAAAAGGCAGCAAAACAGAAACTGAAGTTGCTTCCCCAGCCCCTCTTAACTAGGTAGAAGTCACATTGATTCTAGTCAGTAGAATGACAGTCAAAGCAGAAACAGAAGAACTGACCTCATCATTGAGCCACTGATAGTTCTTTAAGGTCTGGATATCTCCCCGAGTAATTCGCAATTTAAAAGCGCTGCTCAGGATCTCATCTGGTGGACCATGGCCGAGGGCATTACTGATCTCCTTTTCCATGTCCTGAATTAGAAGGTCCAGATGGGTTAGCATAGAACCACTATCAGGTAACATAAGCCTCAGACTGATTTCTGAGAAAATCCACTATTCAAGATCTATTACACTGCAGTGTAACAACATTTACATTTACAACTATAAAACAGCCTAAAGCTGAGCGGTGGTAGCACACACCGTTTATCCCAGCACTCAGAAGACATAGGCAGGTGGATCTCTCTGAGGTAGAGGCCAGCCTAGTCTATCTAGTGAGTTCCAGAACAGCCAGAGAAACCATCTCAGAAACAAAACAAAACAGTCTTAATAATGGCTATTTTCCTTGAATTATCTTAATGAATTATACAGTTAAATGTATATAGCTTATGAACCCAATCAAAATTATTTATTATTTTTTCCTCTTCACATAACTTTGTTATTTTATAACTTGATATCTCTACCTCTGTCACAGTTAGCTTAACAGGACCTAGAGAAAAGAATTATAGCCAAGGGTTAACATTTGGCTGCCCTGTGGGCATGTCTGTGAGGGAATTTTAAGTCAACTGATATTTGGGACCCAGAAGAATGAAGATGCACAGCTGAGTACAGGCATATGGTCATACATCTAGTCAGTGTCACTGTCTTTGCTCTGGACTGTCGATGTGACACAGCTAGCTGGAATGCATGCACTCACACCTGAAGTATGAGCTAAAGGGTAACCCTTCCCCCTGAGTCACTTTGTGTCCAGCTATGTCATCATGGCAATAGAGATGAAAACTACAAGAACTGCCTACAAGTGCACTGTAGGCACTACACAGATCTCTGCTAAGCAGACACACCACATGCACCAAAGTAACAAGGGAAGAAGATCCAGTATGAGGAATCCCTTTAAAATAAGAACCTTTAACTACTTTCATTTCCTAGTGTTTTAGTAAACTTTCACTATATTCATGTATGGTAATCAATAAAAAAGGATGTCTTAGAAAAACTGTAATTTTGCTGGGCATTGGTGGTGTACACCATTAATCCCAGAACTTGGGAGGCAGAGGCAGGCAGATCTCTGTGAGTTCAAGACCAGCCTGGTCTACACAGCAAGTTCCAAGACAGCCTCCAAAGCTACACAGAGAAACCCTGTCTCGGGGGAAAAAGAAAAAGAAAAACTTAATTTTACAAATGCACAAATGCTCAATACATTCATTCTCGATACCACATTTTAAAACTCAAAACATGTGTAGGGTAGGAAAACAATCAATTACAGGCAGACGTGACAGCACATGCTCACAATTATAGCAAGACGATTGCCATGAGTTCCAGAACACCCAGCTAAGAACCAGACCCAGTTTCAAAGAGAAAAAAACCCAAAAACCCAAAACCAAGTATACTTGGTTGTCCACCAAGAACCTTCATACAGACTACAAATGGTCAATGTAGCAATGTAAATAGACCTGGAATCCAATTTTGTTTTTGTTTTTTGAGAACTTCACATATTCACTCCTTATGTGGGGAAGAAACTCCTCAAAATGAGTTTAGAGAAACTGGCGGGCCTAAAAGAGGGTAGTGCCTTATTCTGATCCACACAGGAACTATACCTCTGTAAGTTCAAAGAGATCTGTTCTCCTCTCCTTCTCTCGGCTTGGGAAGTTCTTTTCCTTTGCCTCGAGTCCTGATACCTTCCTCCTGAGTAAGCCATTGCTCCCACTTCCAAGGCGAAGCCTGGCAGACACTTCTTCCGATAGATCAGGCTCCAACTGGTGTCCCCTTGTCTGACCAAAAAGAGTTTCAACATTGACATGCTTGACTTGCACATACATACAATACACTCTACACAGATGCTGCACACATTAGAAAAGAAGATATAAAGCTGACTTTTTCCAGTTTTAACTGTCAGATTGTCATTTTGGGTGGTAAATAAGTGCATAAAAACATATTTGGTAGTGAGAATGACAAGGCACTGTGAAGCCACACAGCCTCTATTCCAAGTGCCTTCTAACTGTATGGTTCACCGAGATGCACAGACTTTGGGTCTGCTTATTTTTCATGTATGTGATTTTTTATAATAAGGTTTACAAAATTAAGGAAAATGTCAAATTCTGGCATTAACTTGAGAGAGAGAAAGAGAGAGAGAGAGAGAGAATGTATGAGAATTAGCAACTCTCCCAACCGTAAAACAGAATCAGCCAGTTGTCTGCCCTGGCAAGGGTGAGCGGAAGCTACACAGTTAAACAAAGACCCACAGGGCATATCAATTGCAAACTGAACCACTCACCACCATTCTTCAGGGACTAGGAAGGAAAGCATTTTCAGTTCCTATCCCAATCGAAAGTGTAGTGAAAGCATGTTTGTAAAGTTTAGAAATATAAAAGATAAAAGGATGAAAATACAGCTTAACTCTCTAATGACCACTAAAAGTCTAAAAGTCAGAAATTTAGAAAAAGTCCATCAGCATGTATGTAAAAATCACCCTAGCTGCATGCAAAGCTCAGGAAAAAAAACCACATGAAATAGCTTGATCACGATGACTGGTTTCTGGATGATGATATTATTATTATTATTATTATTCATAATCACCTAGTTTCTGAAGAATGTTGTTATCCACAACAACAGTCTGGGAACTGTTATGGGTCATCCTGTCCACAAAGAAAATTAATAACTAAAAGATGGGACTCATAGCAAGAAGGGAAAGACAGAGAAAACAAGAGCCTCTGCCAATATATATAGATAACTCCCTGACTGGAAAGTACATTCTCCCAGCCGCTCAAGGACAAGGCTACTGAGCCCACTGGTTCTTGAGAAAGAAAACCCCCTAACCTTGCAGGTGTGCTAAATCTCTAACCTAGGAAACCTTACTAACCATCCAAGTTTTAAACTATCCCATGACCTTGCTTTTAGGCCTAGTGAAAGTAACAGGCTAGCTTTGAAACTGGCCTTGTTAGCTTTAATGTAAATCCTATAAAAGCTATCTCAATTCGGCCCTCGAGGTCCTCAGTCCTCTAACCCTGTGTGGCATATGACTGTGGACCCCAGTGCACTTGTAATAAAAACTCCTCATGCTATTTGCATCAAGACTGCTTCTCATGAGTGACTTTCCTGAGTGGGAGCATGAAGGTCCATGCTCTGCAGGTCTTACAAAGGTATAGCCTGCAGTGTGTCATACAGAGCAATCTACTTCTGTTCTTATTCAAAGTCAGCTGTGTTTAGTTAAACCTGCATCAATTTATTTATTCCTTTCTCTGTATTGGGGTTGGAACCTAAGATCTTTAACATGCTAGACAAACTACCACTGAACTATAGTCTAGTCTTCTATTTTACCCTAAATACTCAAAACCCACACCTTACCAAAAAAAAAAAAAAAAAAAAAAAAAAAAAGTAAGTGTATTTAGAAACAGAACTTTGGAGTAGAGCCACAGTAGTCTCAAGATACCAGTGAGCATTCTTCATTCTTGCTGACTGCCAGGTAGTCCTATCTCCTCCTCCTCCATTTTATAGAAAGAACAGCTCTCACATTACTGTCTAGACTTGGTCCTCCCCAAGTGCTAAGATTATGAGCATTCTTTGTTTTAGCTAAACAGATGATAAATGAGAATTAAACACAAAGAGTCAATCTGGAATCACTGGAAACAGAGCATTAGATAAGGGAATATTTTAAGACTTATCACTTTTGTAATCCTATGTAACTAAAATGTGAGTAATATAAACATTCAGTTGCATTTAATTAAGAAATCAATTACTGTGTGGAGTAATTTATTAATCAGGAGACAGAAGCAAGTGGATCTCTACAAGCCTGAGGCCAATCTGGTCTATATAGCAAGCTCCAGGCCAGCCAAAGCTATACAGTGAGACTGTCTCAAAAGGAAGACGGGGGGTGGGGGGTGGGTGGGGGGGGGTGGGGGGTGGGGGGTGTGGGAAATACTTCTGCCAGATACTAAGTGTTTAGCAATATACTTTATTATTAATAAGCTGAATATGGGGGGGGGTGCTAGAGAGATGGCTCAGTGGTTAAGAGCACTTATTGCTCTTCCAAAGGTCCTGGGTTCAATTTCCAGCACCCACATGGCAGCTCATAACTGTCCATAATTCCAGTTCTACCTACATACAGGCAAAACACCAATGCATATAAAAATAAATGAAGTTTAAAAAAAAATGAACTAAATGCCTGAGTATGTTTACAGAGTTCATTGAAACACTGATTCTAATACTTACACTAAAAGTAAGCCAGGCAATGGTGGCACACACCTTTAATCTTAACACTCAAGAGGCAGAGGCAGGTGGATTTCTGAGTTCAAGGTCAGCCTGGTCTACTGAGTTCCAGGACAGCCAGGACTGTTACACAGAGAAACCTTGTCTCCAAAAAACAAAACCTTCTTTGTTTCTTTACAAAAATTTACCAAGGGCTTCTACTTACACCTTCCTTTTCAAATCGGAGTCCCACCACCTTCTCCGGATCAGCTTTTCCCTTTGAGTACCTAGAAAGGAAACCATCAGAGTTGTAGACTTCTGCTGTTTAGCATGGTACATATTAGTTCTAGAAGCAAAATATTAGTGGTGCACATCTGTAATCCCAGAACTCAGGGAACTGGAGGCAGGAAGATAAGTTTCCCAAGGCTACATAATTAGTTGGAGGCTAGGCTGGATTAAATGAGTGCTGTCTCAATTTTTTTTTTTTAATTTTAAAATTAGGATTAACTAATCTCTAAATAAAAGTGGTCTTGCGAGTGCTGACCGTACCCTGTCTGTTTCCTGGCCTGCCATAAATAATCTGTACCATTCTAATGCTTTCCTCACTATGACTGACTTCTCTCTCTACTGTGAGCTAATTAAACCTTCCCTCAAGTTGTGTCTGCCAAGCACTTCAACAGCAATGGAAGGAAGTAGCATGCAGGACTGGGGCCTGAGAAGTGTGCTCCCTGTTGTGACTGAACCTCTCTGTGGACCTTACAGTGTAGAACCAGACTGAAGAATTGGGGAAATGGAGGTCCGGGTGAGAGAGAGATGCTCTAGAAGCTGAAAGAAGAGCTGAATGGGAGACTGAGGGGCTGAGAAGACCACAAAGTCCACAGAAATGCCGACACTAGACTGCGCTCACGAAGGTCAGATGGGGCCATTGGTACTGGAAGGTGAAGAATGGCTCTATTTCTTCTACAACCTGGAACCTTCCCTGAGAGTGATTTTAAAGAGGATAGAATGCAGGAAGAGGTGGTATATCCCTGTAAATCAACACTCAAGGCAGAGGCAGAAGGATCATAAGTTTGAGGTCAGCCTTACACAGTAAGACCCCCATCTCAAAAGACTGGAAGAGGGGGCTGAGGATGTGGATGAGTTGGTAAAATACTGAGTTTGAGTTCAACATCAATGTAAAAGCTGGCTGTAAAAACACATGCTTATAATCCCAACTCTAGGGAGGAGACAGGAGGCCGAGGCTTGCTGGCCAGCCAGTTTAGCCAAATCAACAAGCTCCAGGTTCAGTAAGAGCCCGTGTCTGAAACTATAGAAAACGACTGAGGAAGAAAGACGTCTAATGCCCCCACCTCTGACCCCACATGCATACACACAGACCCCTCCCTGCCCATTCTCAAAAGAGGGGGAGGGGAAGCAGTGACAAGCTAAAGTGACAAAGGAACTTTAAAGGCAGTTTAGCAGTCAGGATGTGTCATGGCTATGGCAAAAGCTTTTAGCCAAGCTTATAGTAAGACTTAAAAGGAAACCTCAGAGCCAAAGGATCAAAGTAATAGACAAGGATGATGCAATTATTCAAAAGATTAGTACTGCAAAAATCACCCCAAGTCACCCATCCCCCAAAAAAACACTCAGGTACTCTTCCCTAGAAAAAACTGGTCACAGGCTTAAAGCATAACTCTGTGACCTCGTCTTATTTACTGCTTTACTGTTAGCAGAGCAGTCTCTTTGTTTTGTGTGTTTTTGGTACTCTTACAATTACTTCACTGGAGGAAGTGGCACAAGTACAAACCCCAGGGCAGCCTCAGGAGGTTGGCTCTCTCTACCATGTGGATTCTGGAAACTAAACTCAGGTCTTTAGACTTGGTGGCAAGCTCCTGAGTCATCTTGCCAGGCCTGCAGAATCATTTTGAAGACTGCCTCAAGAAAGGTGCCCTCCTTGCAGAGTGCTGCCTGTGGTCACCCATCTAAACACTCAGAGGCAACAGCCATTGTGGTCCAAGGGAGCTCAGCTATTGTCAAGTGGTAAAAGACCTAGATATTGTCCATGTGATGAACTTGCGATAGTTAATCACAACTGGATTTAAAACTACTAGTAGAGGGCTAGAGAGATGGCTCAGAGGTTAAAGGCACTGGCTTCTCTTCCAGAGGTCCTGAGTTCAATTCCCAGCAACCATATGGTGGCTGACAACCATCTATAATTCAATCTGATGGCCTCTTCTGGCATGTAGGCAGAACACTGTATACATAATAAATAAATAAATTTAAAAAACAAACAAACAAAAAAGCACTATTATACTGGATGTGTCTGTGAGGGCTTTTTAAGAAGGAATTAACTGAAGGAACAAAGCCCACTCAGAATATGAGTGCCACCATTCCAGAGACTGGAAGCTGGGAGGAGGCTGGTTACAAACCAGCCTTCCCTTTCTTTACTTTCTTATCTACCCTTACCTTGCTATGCTTACCCTATGAAAATGGGCTGAACCCTCAGAGTCAAAATACAACCTTCCTCTATTACAGTGCATCTGTCAGGAACTCTGCTCATGGAATACAACTAACGCCTACTCAATTTATCTGAGATGGTAATACAAATAAGCCTTTTGAAAAGTGTAAACCTCAACAAACGTTGAAAATTTTCCTATAGGATTTCTGTTTGGATACTGATATACCAATTTCTTTTTGTTTGTTTGTTTTGTTTTGTTTTGTTTTTTCAAGACAGGGTTTCTCTCTGTAGCTTTGTAAACCAGGCTGGCCTCAAACACAAAGATCCTACTGCCTTTGCCTCCCAAGTGCTGGGATTAAAGGTGTAAGACACCAATGCCCAGCACCAATTTCTTTCTACTCCTAGGAATATATAAGATTCACAGCCTGTGGATGACATCCACTAACTAAACGTAGTGAATTATGCACAATAATTATCTCATTGTAAGTTCTCTGAGGATATGTTTATGCCTTCCTGAAACCCATCCAGGCACATAATTTATAAATAATAAACACTTCCATTTCCTTAAAATAAATTGAGTTTAAATAGTCCTCTAAACTAATGGTCAGCAGATCTTTCTGAAAAGGACCCAGGAATAAAATTTCAGGTTTTGTGGCTTCATTCACACTTCTTTATCTCTGAGGTTTATGTATAAAAAACAGAAGGACCAGCTTTGGACCCTCTACCAATGCTGGCAAAGTCTGCTATATATAAGGTAACAACCACCCAAAATCCTAGGACAGCAGGACAACATTCACTGTCCCTATGTCTGATGCAGTGCCCACTGGCAATGCCACCCAACCATACTCCTAAGAAGCACCTGCTTCCTCAAGTCCCAATGGCTACCAGATAAGGGCAGCTTGAAGTATCTGACTTACAACTATTTACCTACTCACAGTGCTAATTAGTTAGCAGACCGATCCACAATTCCTCAAGGTTATTCATAAATGTAGCTTGTAAGGAGACTTATTCTAAATGAAATCTTAGAAGTAAATGGGCCACGCACCTCTTCTCACTTCTCACTGAACAGAGAGGTCCCCTTGTTTCAACAACTCTGTCTGTGGGAATGGAAAGAAAGATCCTTTATTAGCCAATCACAAGTTGGAATTTCAACTGTCAGATTCAAAGAATCAGAACATTTGTTTGCACTTATGCGAATGTGAACTCCAAAGACATTGGCTGCCTCACACACAAGCATGTAAAATACATGTGACTTTCTCTTCCTTCAATATAATTTTGAGCAAACTGATACCAGATCATTTGATAAGCAAGTCATTAAATGAACAGTTATTGGAGAAATATAAAAAAGTTAATAGGAAGTAAATAATTTTAGTCTATACTACCATACAGGCATTTCACACATAATCTTAAAGCAACTTTCTTTTTTAAAATAAAATTTTCAGTACTAGATTAAGTGCTAGCCAATGCCTTGAAGCCTGACAGTATTTTACAGCCTAGTCCACCACCTTTGAGTAGTGTGCCAATTTTCAACCGCACATGCATGCTCTCACACAAACTGAGGTCAATGTCTTAAGATAGAGCTAAAGCTGGAACTCACACTGTTTTGGAACAAAGTGGGCTGTTCTGACTCCATGACTCTGCTCTTCCACCCAGCCTTTGGTCTTTAATGTGTCCATCTGGCTTCTCTGAGAACTTAGACAAAAAGATGAAGTAAGTTAAGACCCTAGTCACACAAAAGACGAAACTAACATTCCAACCCACAGCACCAAGATGACAACAAAACCCACAATATGCAATAATCAAAGATAAAACACCCAAATAAAGTTTGCTCTTTCTGCATTCAATAAGCTAGACAATCCTGTGATTCAATTTGATAGTTCTATACTTCACGGACTCTGTATTTGCAATCACTTGTTAAAATACCAGAACTGGATTCCTGAATTTATACCTTCCTGCCCATTCCTCCAGATAATCACTTCCTTTTGCTACTGTTATCTATGTCCAAATCATGGGCATATTTAATTGACAAGCAACCACATAAACAAAGTTCTTATTTCTAAGTAGAGGAAGCTAAAATTCAATCACTAGATGCCTCAGACTCTCGTGTGTGTGTGTGTGTGTGTGTGTGTGTGTGTGTGTGTGTGTGTGTGTGTGTAAGGAGGAGGAGAGGCTGTAAGGAAATAGAAAAAAAAAAGGGGGGGGAGTCAGGTGACAGGAGCAGAAGAAAAGGAGCTGGGACAAAAGCAGAGAGACAGATCCTGTGGGACATGCCTGTATTGAGCTCAGAGGCTGGGCAGTGATCTCTTTCATGCCAGGTGGTGGTGGCACACTCCTGTAATTCCAGCACTTGGTAGGGAGAGACAGTCAAATCTCTGGGAGTTCAGGACCAGCCTAGTCTACAGAGCGAGTTCCAGGATAGGCTCTAAAGCTACATAGAGAAACCCTATCTCAATAAGCAAAAACAAATACCAAAAAGGACACAACAAAGAATTCACGAGAGTTGGATGTGTTTTCCAATGGATATAATTCCACCATGTGGGAAGCTGGGGTTGAAACAAAAACAGGGATGGGGGTGGGGTGTATAGGCAAAGGACACCAAAACAGAAAATTCCATTTTGTAAACTGCCACACTACAGTGTCACACAGCTAGCTATCTTCACACCAGCACCTCTCTAGAAACAGGAGAAACAAATACATGCTAAGGATACACACTACAAACAGTACATGCTATGGATACATGTCAACAAAGGAACCATGCCAAGGATACATGCTAACAAAGGAACCATGCTAAGGCATGCTAACAATGCACTCATCTTGTCAGCTCTTACCTATGGTGTGAAGCTACAGGAGGGAGAGTGTTTCCATGACTACCTTCTTTAAGTCGTTCCAATAACTTTCGATATTTTTCTCTTTCATCCTTTTGGACACCCTGAAGAAAAAAGTATGCATGGTGAGTAGCAGAACATGAAGCCAAACCAAATCAAACCAGACTGGCCAGTGAGATGCAGCCCACAGATGGACATTATTGGGGAACACTGTTCTTTAAGTTGCTTTAATTAAATACCAACTTTATAAAGGAAAAAAATTTAAATCCCAAATCCTGACCTCTTTAGGAAAAAGTGAATCAACAACTTGGAGCTGTCCCCTTTAGGTAGGCCATTCCTTTCCACCCTACTTCACTCGTTTACGCTGTCTGCTAGATCAGTGGTCCCAACCCCTGGAGGGTTAAACAGCCCTTTCCCAGGGGTCACCTAAGACTACCTGCTTATCAGATATTTACATTACAATTCATCAGTAGTAAAATTACAGTTATGAAGTAGCAATGAAAATAATGTTATGGTTGGGGTCACCACAACATGAGGAACTGCATTAAAGGGTCACAGCATTAGGTTAACAACACACTGTGCTAGGTCTTGAAGGCATTTGCGTCTTTAACAGAACTATGTTGAACGAAATTGAGTTGACCAGAAATGAACAGAAATAATCCACTTGGTAATCAGAGTCCACATCCCCATAACCCTGCACGTAACCCTTCAGCACCTCGTCCAGCTGACCTGGCCTGGCCTGGCCTTCCTGAATAGTAAATGCTTCTCAGTCTCCACTGTTGCCTTAAATGCTGATGGCTTTGCCCACATCTCGTCTCACACTACATTCTTCCCCTGAATAATCTTATCAGCTCCCTTGAATTAAATTACATCAATATGCAGAAAATTCAGAAATGTGTCTCTAACCCTGCCTTCTTCTCAAACTTCCCATCACCTATATCCAAGAGTCTACAGGAGAGGTCTTCTTGCGTGTTTCACAGGCACTTTAAACAATGTCCAAAACTGAAGTCAGCATCTTCCCCCTAAACACACAGGGTATCTTGGTCAGTGACATATATTTATCTAGAGCTGAAATCTGGGCCTCAGGTTTTCCCTGTATGCTATGTATTATTATTCTCAATTAGCAAACGTGTCCTTGCTAAGACTGACCATTGTCCTGGATCTGTCTGCTTAGTCATGTCTCAGATCTCCTGAAACACTCAGGCTTTTTTTGGAAATGCACAGAGGGCCTCTGGCCCACTATTCCCTTGGCCTGTCTGCTGAACTATAAGTTATGTAAAACTCCTGAAGGTAGGAGCCAAATCTGGGATTCATATCCCGAATTACTATAAACTAGTGCAGTATCTGGGACCTGAATAAATATTTGATGAACAAACAGCTCCCAAACCATCTACCAAATTAAAATAATGGATGGTATTGGGAAGTGGCAGAGTCAGAAATTATCATCAACATTGCTGGAACAAATGAAGGTCTCAAGAGAGACAGGAAGGCCTATCTCCTCATTATACTATGCACATCATTTACCACCTTTACCCAATCACAGCTACTTTAGGAAGGGCGTGATGGTACATTTGCATCCCAGCACTTTGGAAGCAGAGTCAGGCACATTTCTTTGAGTTAGAGGCCAGCCTAGTCTACATAGTGAGTTACAGAACAGCCAGGACTACGCAGAGAAACCCTATCTTCAAAAACTAAAATTAAAAAGCAATCTCTTTCTAATAAGGCTCTTTCCTTCTTTTCAGTGGACCTAACATCTAAAACTGACTGCATCATGCATGTCTATATGACTCCATTATGCGTGTCTACAGTATCTCTAGGTACCTAACTGTACAGCAACAGTACTTACTGTGAGTCAAAGCAGGCTGGGGAGGCCAGAAAGGGACAGGATGCTGGGACATTTATAGTCACTGTACCCTTTTAGTACCTTTTAAATTGTATGCCATAGTACACAAATTATTACTCAATAGTCATTAAAAACATTTAGGATATCAGGCTAAAAGGGCTTACCTCCTCCACAGTACAATGGGGACGCCTCACACCCTTGCCACCCTCTTCAGAAATCATCTCTGTTACACCCTGCTCCTGAGGTTTCCATGTTAAGGAACTCTCTGGATTGCTTTTGCTATGGCGACGGCCACTTGGTCTTCTATTATAGCCTTCTGATTTCAATGTAAAACTGGAGAATAAGAGAGAGGGGGAAAAAAAAAAAAAAAAAAAAAAAAAAAAAAAAACGGTATCACTGAATTGGGATTTAGGTTCCTAGGTAATCCAATTATTCTGCTGTTCTAGTTTAAGACTGCAAGTTTTTAAACAACCAACCATCATTAGCAAAAGTTAGATATCCCAGCACTCCACTAGGGAATTTCTGTTCTGGTCACTAGAGCTGTCATATGACTGCCCTCCTCCTCATAGCTAGGTTTCCAACCCTAGCCCTAGATTTAGTTCCTTACAACACAAATCTCTCTCCCTAACAGTGTACTTTTCCTTTACTCTATGTGCACCACTGAAATTATCAGCTACATGCTAGCAAATTCTATGCTGGGACAGTACAGCATGCCTATGGTAATAGCCACTCAGATGCTGATGCTTAAAAACTGCTTTAAGCCAAGAATCTAAAACCAATTGGCCAAGGTAACAAGACTCATCTTAATTTTTTAAAAGTGTGTGTCAGGAGTATAGGTCATTGATAGATGTTCAAGGCCCTGGGTTCAATTCCTAAAAGGAAGAAAAGGGGGTGGAAGCGGGAGAGGAAAAGGGAAGGGGGGAGGAGAAAGAGAACAAAATGGAAAGGAGAAAAGGACAAAGAGGGAAGGGGTTAATGATTAATAAAAATAACCCCACTGCTGGTGACAACACCTGCATCCTCTCCTTGGTATTGCCAATGGCACAAACTGATACCATAGCTCTTGGTAAGTGCTTTGAAAGGGATATATCATGCCCATATGCTATTTTCACAAAAACACTGTACTATTTCTAAAAACATCTACTGTCTATGTTAAATTTAAATACTAATGCCATTACAAGGAAAGGTTATGGAGACATGAAGGATTAAAGCAGATTTCTTAAAAGATGAAAACCAAATAGTATACATTCCTGACCTGTATCCTGGTCCTGGATAGGGAAAATTTAAGTAAGACTTACAAAAAAAAAAAAAAAAGCCAAACTTTATAACCTATAATTATCAATATTTCCACCCTTAAGAAATAACTAAGAAAAGAAGCAGGAGTCCAAGTGCTAACTCTCAAATGGTTCAGAAAACACACACACACACACACACACACACACAGAAGAGGGAGATAAAGTGGATGTAGTAGAGCACAAGTCAAAACAACAAAAGGAAACGCTGAGCTAAATTGGCATGCATGGGGGCTGGAGAGATGGCTCAGTGGTTAAGAGCACTGGCTGCTTTTCAAGAGGACCTCAGTTCAATTCCCAGCACCCACATGGCAGCTAACAACTGTCTATAACTCCAAGATCTGACTCTCACACAGACATACATACAGACAAAAACATCAATTAAAATAAAAATAATTAAAAAAAAAAAAACCTAGTATGCATAGAAGGGAAAACGTACAGATCCAAAATTGTAGAAAACATCAACATTCTACATTCAATCAATAAAAATGAAAAGTCAGCTGGACCTAAATGGACATCTATAGGACACTTTATTCAGTAATAGTAGACTACATATTCTGTTCAAGCCAACGAGGGGCACCATCAAAATGAATAATACTGTAGGACAAAAATTGAAATGCTAAGAAACTTAAAAGTGAAATCAATGCTAAGTACAGTCTCTGACTATAAAGAGATAAACCAGAAATCACTATCAGAAAGATATCAGGAATATTCCAGTACTAAGAAATTAAACAATGTACTTTGAAACTTGTAAGTGACTAACAGAAATCAGATCACACTGTAAAGGGAAACAAGCCAGTCTTAAGTTCAGTGGCTGTCCCAATGATGACCACAGGGAAACGGACAGCATACCTAAATGCTTAGAGAATCAAGTTCATTTCTAAGTATGCATGCCTCATGCACAAGAATAGCCTTGAAATAATACAACTGTCAAGCATGCAGCACACACTTTTAACTTCTCCAATGCTACTGAAAGTTTCTTTTACAGCATTCTCCACAGAATCCAAACATCACATCTTGTTGCTGTATATCTTTGGTGTGCTTTCATCTGGTAACTCTTTGTCTTAAAGATAGAGCACAGGCCTGTGGCTTTGTAGACTGTATTTTAATTTAAGAATAAACTATTTTCACAGGTAAGTTCAGATGAACACTTTCTGCAAAAACACTACATTCAGTCATGATGTCCATCTCAGTGCAGCATACCTGGAGGCTATGGTGTCACTGTGCTACTACTAATCACTTCAACTTGATCTTTTCGTTAAGGTAGTATCAGCCACAATACTCTATAAACAGTCACCCACCTTTTATAATTAATGAGGGATTTGGGGGGAGACATTGTATGTGAATATAAGTATCCTAGGCCTTATCAAATCCTACTTTAGCTCAACCATGACTCATCCATAGTCACTATTACTACGATGGTCGCATACAGTAATCGTATACCTTCTGAGCTAACAGCCAGCATTTTCCCATAAAGATCTTCCCTTTCCAAAATACACATCCATCCACTGGTTTTTACATTACAAGCTTTATTCATTTTCATGTTTAAATTGTCCCTATTTGGCCACTGAACGCCTATCAGTTTTTTTCCCCCAAAGTCAGGCTGGCGCATTTCACCAGTTTTTGGGCCCTCCTTCATGTTCTAATACAAGAAAATTTGTATTTTCCCTCCTAGCTTTACAATTTACCTTTTACTCAAATTGAGAGGCACCTGGTTTTTAGCTACCCTCTCTCCCCCCCCCCTCTCTGAGACAGGGTCTCCCTGTGTAGCCCTGGCTAGGTTCGTGATGTAGACCAGGCTGGCCTCAACATCAAGATCTCCTGCCTCTGCCTCCCAAGTCCTGGAATTAAAGATGTATACTACCACAGCTAACTCACTTAAATTTTTTTAATAATTTATTTCATTGTTTCTGTATACATGTTTTGTCTGCAAGTGTGTTTGTGCACCATGTGCCAACAGTACTCGTGGAGGACACACAAGGGTATCAGAACCCTGGAACTTGAAAGCTACCATCTGAGTGCTGGGAACTGAATATGGATGGGTCCTCCCACAAGTGCTCCTAACAGAGTCAGCTCTCCACCCACCTTTCACTCTTTTTGTAAGTTGTTAGCCAAAGATCTCCAGATATGTTTGTATGTGTTCATAATTGTATATGTGCTTGTGCATGTGAAAGCAAGAGGCATCTACCTCAGCTGCTCTCCACCTCATTTTTTGAGGCAGGGTCTCACTGAACCTAGGAGATCATCAATTCTGCTAGACTGATTGGCCAATGAGCTCAGGCATGTGCCTGTTTCTCCAACCTGCAGCACTTGGGGTTACAGAATTTTTTTTTTCCATCTGTGGGATAGCTTTGACATGGATGATAGGAATCTAAATTTAGGTCCCTGTGTTTGTACAGCAAATACTTTACTGACTGAACTATCTCTAGGCCCAGAATTTGTTGTTGTTCGTTCATTTGTCCAGTTTCTCTATGTAGCTTTGGCTGCCCTAGAACTCGCTCTGTAGAGCAGGCTGGTCTCAAACTCACTGAGAGACCTACCTGCCTGTGCCTCCCAGGTGCTGGGATTAAAGGGTTGCACCACCACTGCCTGCTCTGGCCCAGAATTGTTAATAAAGTATTTAACTAAGAGATAGGCAGTGGGCGGACTCAAGGAAAGCTCTGGGGGCTGGGGGAATAAAAAAAGAAGAGTCAAAGAAACTTGAAAACAATAGACAGTTCTTAAGGTAAGAAAAGGCACTGCACATTTACAGTCAGAGCAAGACACTTGAAGAAAAAATTCATACAGAGTAGACAGGACTTTTACAATTTAAAAACTGTAAGAGCTTTAAAAAACCAGGAGGCTACAACAGAAAAACTCAGAGTTCAAAGCCAACCTGGACTACACAGTGAGTTCAGGACAGTCTGAGTTACCTAACAAATTCCAATTTGGTGTGGACTATGGGGTCCAGATCCTATCTCAAAAAATAGAAAAAAAAAAACAAACAAACAAACAAAAAAAAAAAACCCAAACAAAGAACAAACCCACAATAGTTGAGGCAGGGTCTCTTTATGTCCTGGAACTCACTATGTAGACCAGGCTAGTCTGGAACTCAAGATATCCCTGCCTGTCTCTTAGTGCGTGCTGGGATTAAAGATCTCAGTTATCACACCAGACAAAACATGTCTTTAAAAGGCACAAGGCAAAAGAAAAGACTATGAACTTAAGATATCCAAGCAATAGCAATTCTAGAATAAACAATAAACAAGAGGATAACCAACAGGATAGCTCAGTGGGAGGAGGTGCTTGCTGTCATGCCTGATCACCTGAATTTGACCCCTGGAGGCCATATGATGCAAAGAGAGAACCAACTTTCACAAACTATCTTTGAACTTATATACATGACTTAGTGCATAAAAAAATGAAGAAGTTGTTTATAATATTTACAGAGTTGACATGTATGTTCAGTGCACAAAATTTGCCAGGGTAAGCTGGACAGTGGTGGCCCACACCTCTAATCCCAGCACTTGGGAGGTGGAGGCAGGTGGATCTCTGAGTTCAAGGTAAGCCTAAGCTACAGGGCAGCCAGGACTAAACAGAGAAACTGTCTCACCCCCCCCCCCAAAAAACTATATCAGGTTTGTATTTAAGATTTCTGAATATTTCTGTACACAAACACACATACAACACATGTACACATACACATGCACACACACACAGTTTTTTAAAAAGTAAACATTAATTATTTTTAAAATGGTTTCCAGGGGGCTGGAGAGATTGTTTAGTGGGAGTGCACCTGCTATTCACGTAGAGGACCAGAGTTCAGTTCCTAGCACACACAAAGTGTCTGGTAACTATCTTGTAACTCAGGGATTTCAGGGATTCTAATGCCCTCTTCTGGCCTCCAAAGGCACTGCATGCACAGAAACAGGAAGACAAAACACTCATTAAATAAACAAAGATACTGTGTTTCCATTTTCACTTAATTCTAGGATGTTTTTTGTTTCCCTTTTGATTTATCCCTTAACCCAATTGTCATTCAGTAGTAGTATGCTGTGTAGTTTCCATGAGTCTGGGTACTTACTGCTATTCCTACTGTTGTTAATATCCAGCTTTATTCCTTTGTGATCAGATATGGAGCAGGATGTTATTTCAATCTTCCTACGTTTATATTGAGACTTGTTTTGTATTCTAATATGTGGTCAATTTTGGAGGAAGTCACAATAGCACTTGAGATGAAAATGCATTCCCCAACTAGACACCATACACTACCAAATAATATCCCTGGTACTAGGAATGGGCTACCTCTTTTTTGAGTTGTTGGCTAATGGGGTCCCATAGACCAACCATCTAAACATTACAGGCTATTGTCAATGCTCTTAGTTACCCTCTAGAACTTGACAGTAAGACTCTACTGCTGAAAAACACCACATACTTGAGTCCCAGAATACCGAGTAATCTAGCTGGTACTCAACTGAAAGTTTTCATAGTGCTAGAAGGTACTATGTACACCACCAGAGGAAAAGTAGTCATCAAACTCACCCAGCTATGAACTCAGCAAGCTACAATAATGCTGCAATAATAGCACAAAAGGCCAGGCAGTGGTGGCACACGCCTTTGCTCCCAGCACTCGGGAGGCAGAGGCAGGTAGATCTCTGTGAGTTCGAGACCAGCCTGGTCTACAAGAGCTAGTTCTAGCACAGGCTCCAAAACCATAGAGAAACCCTGTCTTTAAAAAAAAAAAAAAAAAAACCAAACAAACAATAGCACAAATGTTATGGGAGTAACCAACCAATTTTGATTGGATTTAGGCCTGTTTCATGAGATGGAACCCATACCTGACACTAAGGCCAAGAACCTGTGGCTGGACAGGGCACGGGCTCTAAGGGGGAAATCTACTCTATTATTCTACTAAATGGATATAGCAATAAAAATGACTTAATGACTCATGTCTATAACCATCAACCAGTGTGTTCCACAATCCTCATCAAACAAGCTTCTTCCAGTGATAGCTATTAACACGGAAACCCACAACGGTCCGGTGTGCAGAGAGTAAAAGACTTTGGAGTGAACAGTCCTCTTCCCTCAAGGCTCAGGGATCTATGCAGAAGAGCAGGAAGATTGAAAGAACCAAAGGTAGTAGATAACTTCCAGTGTTTTCCTTACACAACAGGCAGATGCACTTATGAACTCATGAGACTGTGTGACAACATGCACAAAAGCTGTGTAAGCTCAAGACACAAAATCTTAGTATGGCAGTGGGTAAAAAGTCCTATCCCTGCTTAGGAGCTACTGGTATTGACTGCTACAGGGAAAGAGAATGTCACTTTTCTTCAACAGACTGACACCAGGTCTATCTATCATATTCCAAGGCAGGTCCCATACTCACAAGTAGCTTATAACACAAAAATAAATGACCCAGAAACTGATATTGGGGTTCAAACTTCAAGCTAAAAATCAGAAAAGCAAAGCAGCTGGTCACTAGTTCTTACCACTATCCAGGCTGAATGGGCTGATCTTGCTGCCTCTCCTCAGCGTGGCTAGAGAATCCTGAGACTGAATGTCTTCCTATCCTCAGTGTAGCTGAAGAATGAATGCCTGATATTGAGACTTGTTCCTGTCTTATATTCCTCCCTAATGCTGGAATTAAAGGTGTGTGATCCCAGGTGCTGAGATCATCTTTGTTTGAGCTGTTTCTCTGTAGGCCTGGATCAATCTTGTGTAGATCTGGGTGGCACTGGACTCACAAATATTGTCTACCTCTTAATCCTGAGTCCTGGAATTAAAGGTATGTACAGCCACCTCCTAGCTTCTGGCTGCTGGAATTAAAGGTATGTGCATGGATTCTATGGCTTGTGACTGACTTTGCTTTCTGAATCCTCAGGCAAGCTTTAATAAATCATAAATAATGTATCACCACAATAGCTAGCAACACAAGCTGGATTTGACAGGAAAGCAAGGAGATGGGGGAAAAGACATGAAATTGAGTGGGCATGGAGGAGGGGAAGGAGCTGGAGAAGGGGGATAAACACAATCAAAATAAAATGGGTGAAAATTCTCAAAAAATAAAATAGGGGGCTGTAGAGATGGCTCAGTGATTAAGAATACTGGCTGCTCTTCCAGAGGACCAGGGCTGAGGACAATGCCCTCTTCAGGCCTCCTCATACACCATCTATGAACACATACAGATTATGTATTCAGGCAAAATACACATAGAATTATTAAAATAAAAATCTTAAAAATCACTTACAAAACCAAATCATAGCATGGACATGTAATACAGTTGTAAAGGAAACACTCAAATTCAAGTCCAACTAGTCATGTGATAGAAAGTTACCCTTAGAGTGCCTACTTAATATTAACAAAGGAGAAACTGTGGAGCAACAGTGAGTTCCACTTACAGAGAAGCAGAATTTATCACTTACCCAAAAGAAGGAAGGACTCTACGTGGCTGATCTCGGGTCACTGTCACTCTGATCTTTGGATAGTCACTTATTCCATTAGGAGATTTATTACCTTTGAGAACATATTTGTAATGAGAAACAGCCTACATCAGGACAGAAATTTCACACAGCAGAACTATCTTTTTAAAAGCATAGTACTCCAGCATGAAGGTTACAAAAGCATTAAAGGAAAGCAATGGTGGGCTAGAAATGTAGTTCTGTGATACATTATTACCTCACATGTATGAGACCCTAAGTTCAATTTTCACTACCACAAAGCCACAACTGATATTAGTATTAATATGAGTAAGTCAAATTCAATGTACATAAACCTTAAAAACCATGAGCTTAACCAAACCTTGCTCTTTGCATTGCTCTGTTATTTCAGTCCCAGCAATGGGGCTAACACACGGGTACATGCTTACTCATCTTTGCACTTCTGTTCCCTAACAACAGGTGTGAGGAGTGTAATTATAAAGCATCATTTCTGAGCTTCCTCCACTCTGGCTTCTAAACCTTGTATCCCTATCTTTCACTAGCTTCCACCTTTTCTCTCACTAGTCTACCTACATGGCAGACACTAAACCAAATTTTCACAATTCTGGCTCCTTCTGGCTCCCCACAATACTAGTTTGTACAATATATACAATTAAAATCGCCCTTCAGGGCCTATTGATAATATGGAAGTCTATACAGCTGCAAGAATCAGGAGCTTAGGGTTGCTCATTAAATATATGAACTCCAAGCAAGAACAAGGTCTTCTGTTAATTCTGATGATGTCAAATCAATGCCTGGAACACAGCAAGCTCTCAGGAATATTTATCTTTTCTTCCTTCTTTCTTTTTAGGAATATCTTTCTTAAGATTTGTTTTTAAATTATGTGTGAACGTACGCATGTGTGTATGTATACACACACACACACACCTGTGTGTGAGTTCAGAGAGGGTATCATATCCCACAGAGCTGCCTGATATGGGTGCTGGGACCCAAACACAGTTCCTCTACAAGAGCAGTACATGTTCTTAACCACCCAGCCATCTCTCCAGCCCTTTGTTTTTTAATCAATGAGACTTGATCTGAAGTCACACTCATATGTAACAGAAAACACAATAGTCAACTCAGACAAGAATGTTCCAGGTTGAACATCCTTCATGTGAAAACCTGAGTGCTGATGCTGAAGTTTCCCATTTCAGATTTCAGAGTGTAAATAAGGGATGCTCAACTGGTAGGGTCCATGCAAATATTCCCAAAATCTCAAAAACTGTAAAACCAAAAACATTTCTAGTCCCAAGAATTTAAGATAAAACTTATACTTGGGTTTTTGTTGTCGTTGTTGTTCTTGTTTTGTTTTTTGAGACAAGGTTTCTCTGTGTAGGCCTGGCTGACCTGGAACTCACTCTGTAGACCAGGTTGGCCTCAAACTCAAGAGATGCAGCTGCCTCTGTTTCCTGAGTGCAGGGATTAAAGGCATACGCCATTACCTGAATGGCACCCAAGGAACAACATCCACGGTTGTCCTTCAACTGAAGGACTTTATAAAATACTTTATAAGATTGAACACTTTCAAACACAATGCTCAAGACTTCTGACTTGAGGTTTAATTTTTAAAAAAACAAACAAAAACCTGAGTGCATTATTGTCCCCTTTTCCAGATAAGGAACTGAGACACACTAAAGTTAAGGAATTTTTTTAGAGTCCCATATCTGGTAAAACATACAACTCAGCCCTACTTGTTTTGATGGATAGTACAGAGACTATGCCTTTATTCTTATCCTAATCCAAATTGATGTTTTCCTTTCAGACTCTTCAGACTTAGGGGACACAGGCAGAAGCGCAGGTAAGCAAGAGCATTTTGACCACCTCACCCAGTTTCAGCATGCTGTTGCAGGATCCAGAACCCGTCAGTTCACAAGATGAAGAGTTCGAAAATACCTAAAATAAAGCAGTCACTTCTGTTAACACCCAAGCTTGCACTTTAAAAGTGTTTCTAGTATAAAGTTCACTCTATTCATGATTATTTTCAAGCTAGCACACAGAATTAAGTTGTCAAAACTGACAAAACAGTGTTACAAAGATAATTACATTTTCCCAACAAATACTGTAAAAAACAAATTTCCAGTCAGGAGGTGGTGGTGCACGCCATTAGTCCCAGCACTCAGGAGACAGAGGCAGGCAGATCTCTGTGAGTTCAAGGCCAGCCTGGTCTACAGAGCAAGTTCCAGAACAGGCTCCAAAGCTACAAAGACAAACTCTGTCTCCAAAACAAAACAAAATTTCCTTTTCAAGACAGAGACTCACTGTAAGAATCAGGTTGACCTCACATTCATTCTACTGTTTTTTGAAAGACTTCTTTATCATATACACACACTAGAAGAGGGCACCAGATCTCACTATAGACAGTTGAGAGCCACCACATGGTTGCTGGGAATTGAACTCTAGACCTCTGGAAGAACAGCAGGTGTGCTTAACCCCTCAGCCATCTCTCCAGCTCCCTGTTCTTTTGTTTTTAAGACAGTGCTTAAACTCTGTAGCCTGGGCTGGCCTGGAATTCACTAAGGAGCTAGGCTGGTCTCAAGCTCATGATTCTTCTGCCTCACCTCCTAATGATTATAGGCATTAGCCACTACACCTGGCTTCTTCTTTTTGTTTTTTAGGCAAGGGTCTCACTAGGTTGTTGCAAATGGTCCTGAATGCCCAAGATCAGCAAACTATCCCACAGCAGCATTCTGAACACTAGGATCACAAGAGTATACCATCAGGATAAGGGAGCCAATGCTCTTTCTAAAACGTATTGCATTCCTCTGAGTGATTCTGTGAGTGTGTGTGTGTGTCCATCCATGTGAGTGCACATACGGAGGTCAGAGAACAACTTGTAGGAACTAGCTCTCTACAGTGTGGGTTCTGTGGTTGAACTAAGTTCAGTAAGTCTGAGTTTGCTTTAGTCTTTACTCACTGAGCCATCTTGCTGCCCCCTAATATTCTTTATAAATATTTTTAAATATTTTTAAAACACTGCAAATTTTTTTTAATTCAATTTATAAATATCACAGTGTGTAGGGCTGAAGGTGTAACTCAGTATTAAACTAGTGCTTATTATATACAGGATCCATACCAGGCATGCCTTTAATGCCAGCACTCAAGAGACAAAGGCAGGGAGATCCCTCCAAGTTTAAAATCATCCTAGTCTAAATCTATATAGAGAATTCTAGGACACCCAGAGCTACAAAAAGAGACCCTGTCTCAAAAACAAACAAACAATGTATGCGGTCCTGGATTCCATCTCCACACAAAAATCAAAAAGGGAAAGGAAAAAGACCAGCATCCAAGCCCCATCCCCACTGACCTCTCCTGAAGGGGCCACATTCCGTGTTCCATTACAAGCAGAAGACACCATGGGTTTTGTGGTCAGCTGGAATGGCAGTCCAAATAAACTTGCAGCATTGTACAGACTGTTTTTCACTTGGTGAATGAAGCAATCTAAAAAATATCAACAAATCATAAACAGAGCATTAACTTGCAGAAGAAAAAAAAAACCTCTTAATTTTTTTCTTTTTATTTTTTTCCTCAGTTAGTTTTTAATAAAGTCTTACTTTTAAACACTGAAATAAAAATGTATCTATAACATAAAAGTATTTTGGGACCATCGAGGTGGCTGCCTGGTAACCTAAGATTGACTCCCAGAACCCATGTAAAGATAGAACAGACTCCACAAAGTTGCCCTCTGACCTCCACAGGCATTTTTGGTACAACTACACTCACGCATGTGCATCATACACACATGAATAAACTGAATAAATGGATTCTAACATGTGAAATTTGTTTTAATCAACTATCACAGCTGCTACAAAAACATTAAACTATTACTTTAGTAAGCCACAAACTGATTCACCAAGAAATTATCTGAAATAGCATCTTCTAAGCAGTAACCTTTGTAGAATACATAAAATGAAACCACAGAGCTGAAGGATAAATGAACAAGAAACATGCATACTGCTAGGAATGGAAAATGCACAGAGAGCACTGACATTTACTGTTTGCCTTTTCTTCCCAGGCTGGTGACAACACAATTATCTTAACCATCTACAAAGCCCTTAATAAATCTTGACTGAGTGAAGTATAAAACACACATTTCTTAAGGATCTGTGACAAAGAAAAACTATCCCACTACTGAACAAGATGCACTGGCCAATCTCTAGTTCACTTCCTCCTGGTACCAAAGATTACAAAATAGAGAAGTAAACAAATGGGGGTGTGTTTCAGTGTTCCTCCACTTCCTTCTTTTATAGTATTACCTCCTCACTTCCTGCACCTCTTTCCTGCAGTTTCCTTTGTACTCACTAATTAATTATAAAGAACTATTTTCTGCTTTAGAGAAAAATAGTCTAAAATGGTGGCTTTAAAGCAACAGAGTTCCAATATAGATAAAACACAAAATAAATACTCTCTAGAAAAGGGAATGGCTCCAATAATCAAGAAAATGTGTTGGTTAGGTGGAGCAGAATCCAAACTGGAAGTAATTTACTTGTTTGCTGACTACGCTGGTGCATATGTTGTAATTCCAACATAAAGGAGGCTGAAGCATCCTGTCTTGGTTAGGGTTAGTATTACTATGATGAAATACCATAACCAAAGCTACTTGGAGAGGAAAGGGTTAATTTGGCTTCAGCTCTATCATTGGTTCTTCTTCAAAGGAAGTCAGGGCAGGAGCTCAACAGGGAAGGAAGGGATCTATAGGCAGCAGGTGGTGCAGAGGCCATGGAGGAGTGCTGCCTACTGGCTTGCTCCACCTGCTTTCTTAAAGAACCCAGGACCACCAAGCCAGTGGGATCACAATGGCTGGGGCCTCCCACATCAGTCACTCATTAACAAAATATCCTACAAGCCTGCTTGCAGCCAGATCTTATACGGTTTCTCAACTTAGGCTCCTTCTCCAATGACTTTAGCTTGAGTCAAGTTGGCATAAAAATAGCAATCATACATGCCAAGTTAAGAGGCCAGCCTTGGCAACACAGTGAGCTTAAAGGTAACCTGTGCTACACATGGGGACCATGTCTCAAAAAGGAGGAGTTCTAATTTATCAAATTAGTTGTTTTTCATTTCAGGAATTGGGAGACAATTTCAGGCTATTCCTACAATATGTTGAAGGACCATTTCTTCTCCAATCATACTTCTTGATAAGAGTAATAGTAGTCACTAAGTATTGGAATGTTTTATTTCCTCACAAATTTTATCAAAAAATGGGTCTATCCTAACACTGTGTTAACTTATTCCCTGAACTCTCACAAAGGAAGGTCTTACCTGTAAGAGATTCAGACTACACGGTGTTCTGAGACTCTGGCTTTCACTGTAAAATCATGGGTCTGCTATGATGAGGTCCTCCCTCCCTCCCTCCCTCCCTTCAACTCTGCTGTTTCTTCTACCCAAAGCTACCCAATGTGAAAGCCAGAAGCCAGGTGGGGCTGCCTAGCAATTTAGTTTAAATGAGTGGAAAGTGAAAGTTCAGTTCTTTATTGAGGTGTGATAGCTCATACCTGTACTCCAGAACTTGGGAGTCTGAGGAACAAAGAATTGAGACCAATTTGGATTCCTCAGACACAAACACACACACAATTTAAAAAATTAAAACCCTTCATTTCTTTGAGTTAACCTAGCCATATTTCCAGTACTCAACAGTCATCAGAACAGAGATATGCTGTGCTACCCAGCTTCATCTCCAGTTCAGATTACTTTCTGCTGTTTGCAGTAAGGAAATCAACCTCTGCATTCAACAGAAATGAAAGAGTGGGGTGATTCTTAGGCCAGAAGTAGATGATTATCATATGCAACCAACCCAGGAACCTTCTCTAACACCACCAAAGTTTTATCTTGTTTGTAGTTCTAGGGACTGAATTTTGGCTGCTGAATGTATCAATCACTGAACTTATTCCTACCCTCTTACTACTTTACTTTCAAACAGGTCTCATTAAACTGTCCAAGCAGGCTTTGAACTTCTCATCTGCCTGCTTCAACATCCTCAGTAGATCACAGGCCTGTGTTAATCAGGCCCTAGGAAGCCCCCCAGTTGTTTTTTGTTTCTGGATTTTTTGTTTGGTGGTTGGTTGGTTTTTTGTTTTCTGGGGTTTTTTTTGTTTGTTTGTTTTTTTTGTTTTTTTTTTTGGTCATGTTACTTCATTCAAGTACAAGCTAATATTTATTTAGATTTATTTTTTAAAAGGAGCTCATTTTTTTCTTAGTTATTAAAAATGTTTATAGATAGACCTAGTATTCATTTTTTTTATTTCCTGTAATTGTGCAAAATCAAGACCTACTCAGTATTTACTGATGGATTTAAATGAAATATCAATATCCACAGCAATATATCTGGAATAAACCCAAATTCATGATCAGGTTGAGAAAAGGGAACATACTATAGTATTCTACTGTGCCTTGTCCTTTAATCTGCTTTTATTCTCTTCTACCAGTGAGATAAAAGAAAGTAGATTTGAGACAACAAATTAAATTGGTTCAGCCAGATGAGTCTGATCAGTCAGCAGATGAGTCTGGTCAGTCAGTAGATGAGTCTGATCAGTCAGTCTGAACTGGCTTCTCCTCAAAAATAAAGAAAAACTAACTTTTTTTTTTAATAGAAGACTTTAGAAGTTTAAACACATTCAATGCACGTATTTGAAACACACAGTCATCTCCAGGAAGGACAATGGCACAGGGAAGGGCAGGAAAGAGACAACTTTTCATTGTCTCAACTTTTTACCTTTTGAACTTTGTTCCATGCATGTATTTTTCCTACTAAAAGAAATAAATTCTTTGCCAGGCAATGGCGCACACCTTTAATCCCAGCACTTGGAAGGCAGAGGCAGGTGGATCTCAGTGAGTTCAAGGCCAGCCTACTCTACAAAATAAGCTCCATGACAGCCAGGACTGTCCCACAGGGAAACCCTGTCTCCAAATACAAGCATGTTTGTTAACCAAAAAAAAAAAAAAAAAGAAAGAAAGAAAGAAAATTTAAAATGTAGTACCTAATCTTGGTCTTTTAGCTGGGATTTCATCAGTGTCCACTGTAGTAGAAAACAGAGCGCTGTAAAGAAAGGAAAAGAAGTACATATATACATATGTAACACATGTATTTCTATAAATAAACTACTCAGAGATGGAGATGTGACTAAGTTGTACAATATGTATTTAGCATGTAAAAGACCCTGGGTTCAACACCTAGCATCAAAACAAAAACTTCAAACCACACAATTCTTTCATTTACTAGTCATAAAATGAGATGAAATGTGTAAAACAGAATGCTATTTCCATATCTTAAGACCCAACACTCCCTACTATGGAATGATGTATCATCTAGTCAAATTGAACCAATAAATCATTTGTTTCTGAAACAATGACCTCAGAGACAGCCATTTTTTACTTCAAGGGGCAATATTAGCAGTCATAACAGGTTATTGGGGGCGCCTTTGGGAAGAGAGTGCTTAACTGCCCCATCTCACCCCTACCCCAGTGGGGGGGGGGGAACTGAAGACAGGACAGGCACGATAGACAAGCACTCTACCACTAAGGCACCCCGCTAATCCCTAAAATGAGTTGTTTCATAAGGACAGGTGTCAGGCAGCTAGAATTCAAGGCACTGAATGACTCTGAGGGACTATGAAAGAGAATAATTGTGAGATTAACAATCCCCATTCAATAAAATATACACCAGATCCAGCATAAAACACTGTCTGCCCTTACATAGTAAACGAAACATCACTCTAGGAACTTTACAACACCTTAAATGATCCTCTCTCTCTGGAATACGTGCTACAGTTTAGCTAACAATCAATTCCATCAGTGACCTACATTCCTAGAATCATCTATGAACCATTTTGTTCTACTTCCCCTAAACCCATCTTTTGTCCACTTTTCTTGACCTGAAAAAACACAAAAATCATCATCATCATCATCATCATTACAAATGAAGCAGACACATAAAAGTAAGAAAAGGAAGGAAGGGTGGGAGAGACTTTTGGGGAATCCAGAATTTGCATAGACTGTAAAAAAAAAAAAAAAGTAAAGGAGTAGATGCTAAGTAATAGCATTTCTAATTTCCCTCTAATTTTAACCAAGTCTTGGAGTGTGGTACCTACTTTCTTTCTGCCTCTTACACCGATGTTAAAGAACAGAACCATTCTCCTCCCCTCTAGCCCAACACTGACACAGCTGCTGTAAAACAAGACGACTGCTGTTCCTTGGTGCGAAGAGAACAGTACTGGCAGTCAAACTCCTAACCTACTGACTTGTCCCTGCACTGCCCGCCCGCGATGACACCGGGCGACCGGAGCTGTATCGGGCGAGCAGCACAGCGTCGGCCTCCCACTCCCCTTCCGCTCACTGCCAGAGGGGCGGACTCGCCCCAGGCCTCCGCGGTCCCGGAGCCGCCGGTTCCCACAGGCCCGCGGCGCCCAACGCCAGCGCGGGGGAGGGGACCGGCGCGCGGCCGCCTTACCTGCTCGAGCGCCGCCTCTTGAGCAGGGCGCGGGCCCCGGGCGCGGGCCGCTCGCACAAGCGGAGAATGGTGCCGAGAACCCTAGCCAGCCATCTGTACATTCCAGGCCTGAGCAGCAGCGGCGGCCGACACACCCCGAGACGCGAACCCCAGAGCTGTCGCCGCCGCCGCCGCCGCCGCCGCCGCCGCCGCCGCTGCTGCTGCCGCCTTCGCTGCTTCGGCCGGAGCCAGGTTCAGGCGCGGACTTGTGACGCCGTCAGAGGGCCCACAGATTCAACGTTCCCCGGGCTATGGGAGGATCCTCTCCGCGCCGCCGACGTCACCTCCTTCCGCCCAACGGGAAAGCGGCCTCCTGAATCTGCGCACGCGCAGCCTGCCCCCTGCTCCTTATAAGCCTAGCAACAGGAAGCCGCCGGACCCAGAGGCCTTAGTGAAGACCTGATTGGCAGGCAGGTGGGCGGGGCTTTCTCTTTGGCGAAGCCAGTCAGGAATCGGCCTCGGGACAAGGCCCACAGACCCAGACCACGTGTACCGCTGCTAAGTGGTGAGAGCTACCTGAGCAACGCAATTGTGGGGCTTTGTAGAAGAGTGCAAATAGATCAAGTTAGCTAACAAGTGTTTAACGTTTTTCTCTTTATTGGTCTCTTTATTTGTCTCCTACTTTACGCGGATTGCCGTCGTGTCCACAGCAACCGAAAGTAATAGGGAAGAAGTCTTCTGTCTGTCATAAAAACCAAAGGTATGTAGCATTAAATCATGTACCTAAGATAATAAAGTTATCTGCCAGCATTTGAATAAGAGTCTAAGTAGTAGGGTCCATTCTGCAATCTTAAGGTCAAGCCAACTGGGAGAGACATTTTCACAGATAATTATACATTAGAATACAAGATAATTAGCTGCTGTGAGGAAGAAGGGTGCAAAGTGCAATGGAGCTACAGAAAGTAAAGTTACATAATTGGGAGTGGGTAGGGCAGAAGGACACAAGTCCTTAGGAAAATGTTGTGGGATATTTGTGGAGATGTATTGCTGTGATTGGTGTAATAAAGAGCTAAATGGCCAATATCTAGGCAGGAGGTTAGGCAGGATTTTGGAAGAGAGGAAGAGCAGTAGGAATCGAGGCTTGTGAATTAATTATGTGAGAGAGAAGCCAACGATACACGGAGGGAGTCAGACATGTAGAATGAAAGATAAAAAGCCACACGGTGAAATGTAGATTAATAGAAACAGGTTAATTTAAGTTATAAAAGCTAGTACCATAAGGTTCTCTTGGATCACTCGGTAGGATCAGCTGCAGCGCCTTTAAGAGGCCCTGCTGTGCAGCTGAAGACTTGAGCAGCCTGCACTAAGTACAAAAGCCTGCAACTTCCCAGAGCTGGGAAAGTAAACTGATCCAGGCCAGTCACAGGCATGAGGTTAGGCTCCTCCAACTGGAGAGGGAAAGGGGTAAAGAGCCTGCTGTCAGAGCTACATGGTGGTACCCTAATCATTCAAGGTTTGGTTTACATGGTCAGAGAAAGCTACGGAGGTACAAGACCACCTCTGAAATGTGCTTATATAAGCCAGGCAATGTTGATGCCAACATAACCACCACCAGGTTGTTACTGAGAGTTTTTAAAGGGAAATTACAATAGATTCTTTTCCCTCTGAAGACTTGATAATTTTAGTCTGTGTAATATAATCATAGAAATAACCAAAAAGGAGGGGAAAAAAACCCAATAAATTTCTTAATATGAGAGCACAGGCACCACAAAGAATTAAGATAGAATTGAGTTTAGAGCTAACCGAAAGAAAGAGAACTCGAGCTTCTAGAAGAAGGAAAAGTACAGAAAGGAGTGTTATTACATTTTATTTTATTATTTATTTTAACAATAATTATTATTTCATACAACATATTTGATCAATTCACCTCCCCAAATCTTTAGATTCACCCCTTTCTGTACTCACACAATTTTGTGTTCTTTTTCTGTTTTTCTTTCTTTTCTTTTTTTTTTTTTTTTTTTTTTTTTTTTTTTTTTTTTTTTTTTTTTTTGCTTCCATCAAGTCCAATTTGTGCTGCCCGTATATGGCCTTTCACTGGAGTGTTCACCTCCCCTGGCCCTCATGCCCTTTCCATCCTAACTTCCACAATGGTCCTAGAGCCCTCAGAAGGGAATGCAAGATATAAGCGATGGTGCAGAGAAACTACCTGGCTATATAGCTCTATAGGTAGAAAGAAAGGTTTATTGAGGATCAAACCACCAAGGCCGTCTGGGGGTGGGGTGGGGTGGGGAGGGAGGCAGACTGGCAGAAAAGCAAGCAAATTTTGTGACAATCAGTAGGGTGAGGATCTGAGCTGATCACACTGTGTGGATTGCCTGATTGCTCTTTGGGGGAGGTTTTAGGGAGTCTCCAGGGAGGTGGGGGCCCCTTTAGAGTTAACATCCCAACCTTTTGTTGAGAAGGATGATGAGTCCTCTGGATACTTCCTGCTGGTTGGGAGCTTGAGAAGAGGAGCAGATCTGGGAGGAACATTGCTCCAAACCAGCGGCCCAAGCTGATGGACGATGGTAGGAGACCTGAGAACACCCCATGGGAAGCATCTTATTTACTGACCCTTGGATGATTTCACTAATTCTCCCAAAGGAACCTGAAGAGATAAGGGGAATCCATTATGAGAAAGAAAGAGATCAGTGAACCTAGGAGGGGTAGAACCAGATCCAGAGAGGACTGTAGTGGGGATCTAGAATTGCAGTCAATCCCCAGAGGCCAAAGTTTATGAGCCACTTTGTGTAAGTTTTTAATCCTCTCTTCTACTTGATACTAACAACACTGTTCACTGAAAGAAAACCAAGTGCCCCCCCTACTAGATAGTTAGCAAGTCCAGGGCTCTTCAGGAGCACCAAGGCCAGAGAAGTGAGCTGGTTCTGGAGTAGATTCAGGGATGAGGTTTATTTCTTTACAGAATATCAGTCTTGTGTGGCTCGCTTTATCCAATTAGCTAAAGGCTAACAAAATAAGCAGAGACAAAGAGGCTAAAGATACACCTTCAAGTCAGCATTTTCTGCTCTTCTGCCTGAGCCTCTCCCAACCCCTCTTGGGTCTGCTTCTGGAGATGTCTCTTTCCTGCTTACTCTCAGCTCACCCCTAGAATTTGCTCCTGTCTCTAACCATGGGCTCTTATTAAACTCATTGACCCCTCACCTACCTTCTCTAATCACTTTCCTGCTCAGACCCAGATTTTATTAAAGCTTCTGTCTTACTGAAAATGACTAAGTCTCAGAGAAAAACTAGATCACCAGTGTCAGTGTGAGGGAGTCCCCAAGTGGACTGACAGACTTGCCAGAGACACGTGCAGGATCAGTGGAAGGACACCCCTCCTCTGTGTGATGGGGTGCCCAAAAGGTTGTAGGGAGGCTGCCTGATACACTGACGTGATTTTGTAGTAGTAGTAGTAGTAGTAGGTAGCTCCAGGAGCCAAGAGAGATGATGAGACACATTCCAGTGAGCCAACAAAAGAGAAACAAACAGCAAACAGCTCCAAGGCATTACTTACCAGAATAGACAAGGAGAGACAAGTGGTTAGAGCTGGTGGAGGAGAAGCAGCTGAAGAAATGGACTCTAATACTTAGAGTCTGATATGATTGGGGGGGAGGGAGTGGCAGGAGCCAGCATAAACAAGTGATCTGCACCCAGGAGAGGCAAAAATTAGCAGTTTGGTTCCATTAGGTGTGACTGTGGGTATTTTGCTCCTTAAAGAGATGTTTTGAGTATTCTTTGTATCATGGGAAAAAAGGGTCTTTTGCCCTCCCCTTTGACTTGGAGTATAAAAGACTCTGAAAAATAAACTTGAGGCTGATTCAGTATTCACTGGAATGCCCTCCCAAACCTGTTCTGTGTCTCTGTCTTCTTATTATCTTTAATTTTTTATCTACCATTTCTCAATCCATACATTTCTCTCCAGAAAAGGACCAAATGTATAAACTGGGCAGGACTGGGCTATTGTGGTCTTCTGGACACAGAACACTACAGGTCGTGGCTTCATTAAGTACTTTGGAAGACCAGCTTGAATGGGGAGGAGGTAGAAATGGAAGGAAGTAAAGTTTCCTTGCATTGGTAGCCCTTGGGCAAGAAGGGGGCTTTGGGGCTCCTCACTCTCAAAACCCCACACCAATGCCACATTGATAGGTGTTTAAAGAGTTAAGAGGAAATAATGGAACAGAAAGGGTTAAACTGAGGTTGGAGGAGTGGAGGGCAGGGTAGAAAAGGGAGTTTGGGGAGGAATAAATAACACGATGACCTTTTGAAAAAGTCATAAGAGGAACCTAGTATTATAGGAGCTTCCTAACACACACACACACACACACACACACACACACACACCTCCCTCAGAGTTAAAATGCAGTTGCTCTACAACAGTACCCCAACTAGAGACCATGCACTACCAAATAGAAAACCCAATGTCAGGAATGGTTATTTCTTTTGGAGATTTTGGCCCCATCGAGGTTCCACAAATTAGCAAATATAGGCCAATGCTCTTGGTTACCCTCCAGAACTTGATGGCAAGACTATTGCTAATAACACCATGTGCTTAAGCCACAGAATACGGGAATATTAAGCAGGTACTAACCTAGAAGTTTCATCCCCACTTGTCAGCTTTCATGGCTTCGAGTAGGAAGGCACTATACATGCTACTGGAGGAGAAAGGAAACCATCAGTCCTTCCCAGCCTTGAACCTTGCAAGCTACAATAATGCCCAACCTAGCACGTCACGCCCACTGACGAATAGTGGCATGAGCATCATGGGGGTGAACAATTACTTTTTTAGGCTAAATGTCCTGTTAAAGTAAGATACCCATTGGTTACTTCTTAGGCCAAACATTCTGTTTGACCTTGAAAGAATGAAAATGGCCTTGAACTCTCTAACCTTATGTCAAGGTGAAGTGAAGCTATTTCTCTGGGCCCCAGCAAAGACCCTGAAAGACAACATGCCTGGATGGTCAGTGAGACTTGGTCTTTGCTGTTGGCAAAATTACAACCTCATTAAGTGCTGGGTATCTCCAAAGGGAAAGAGCAGCTTTCATTCAAATAAACCATATATTTGCAAGCTGCTTTTGAATAAGAGCCCATCTCACTCAAGGCAAGTGGCAGGAGTAAGGAACTCAGGATGAAGTCTCATGGGACTATCACAGCACTGCCATTCTTTC